TGAAGCAGTTCCTAACATGGTTTTACAAATTTGGCCTCACGGATGTCGTACTGATTTTTTTCCAGTGTGACACTATTGTCGCATTCTCTTTATAAGTAGAAAATTGGAAAAATGAATGATGATGTGTACTGTGGTTTGTTGCAGTGTTCATCTCATTCCCCCCAAATTGGTCTTATTATTGATGCTTGTACTTACAAGGATGCTCGTGGATGTGTATAAGTAGTTTCTCTGCAGTTGAGAATGGGCTGCTTGTGGTGCGCCCTGAACCAGGCGAATGTTTTCGCCTGCAGTGACTGCCACCAGCTTTACATCTGTGATCAATTTGCAGCGGTTCAGTGCGGCACATGGGGAGTCACTGAAAGCTGTTCCGTCCTCAGAGAGCAGAGGAGACACGTGTCTGTCCTCCTGGGGCAGCGTGGTGTTGATGGCGTTTGTTTTAATGAACAGACTTGGAGAACTTTCCTGTGCCCCGTGTCTCCTGGCTGTGTTAGGTGGTGACTGACACGCCTGTTTGGCTTCACTTCACAGACATCCTGTCGACCTTGGGGAAATGGAGACGGAATCCGTGGACAGCAGCTCTGAGTCCCAGGCGAGCTCTCAGGATAACTTCGTAAGTACCTTTCCTCGGTTCTGTCTCTTAGTGTGGGTGCTTCAGGTTAGTTGTTGACAATATATGCCACTTTAGAAACTGAAGTTTAAGCCGAAGTTTGATTCTAGTGCTTATGAAAAAGGGACTCCTTACCCCTTTCTCTAACATCATCGAAATGTCAGATTTGATGGAGTTGCTAGGTAGTGGCCTTAATTTAAGTTTTCGTTCAGTCCAACTAACCAGTCCTACCATTTCCATTTACACGTAAAAAGCCTTTTCCCCTCTGGTTCCAGCGTCTTCACAAGCATTGTCACTAGCATTAATTTTAGGCTGTATACAATTTGTGCTGGTGAATTGCTAGTAGAGGAATCATCTGCTAATTGTTAATAAATAAAGGAATGCTTTGTGCCTAGGAGTTTTCCCCACATTTGCCAATTTAAAAAAATTACATGTTTTTGAGAAAAAACTTAAGATTAAAAGCAGCGTACAGAATTGCTTCATCTCCATTTCTGTAGTCACTGGTTGGGTGCATGTTCTCCAGATTTTTCTGCATGTGTACAAGCAAACACACATCAGCAGTTTACAATAAAAGGGTCCTTTTATTTTATTTATTTATATTTTTTTGTGAGGAAGATTTGCCCTGAACTAACATCTGTTACCAGTCTTTCTCTCTTTTTTTTTCCCCCCAAAGCCTGAGTACATAGTTGTCTATCCTAGGTGTAAGTCATTCTGGTTCCTCTATGTGGGATGCTGCCACAGCATGGTTGATAAGTGGTGTGTAGGTCTGTGCTCAGGATCTGAACTGGTGAACCCCAGGCTGCTGAAGCAGAGCGTGCGAACTTAACCACTTGGCCACAGGGCTGGCCTCCCTTTTATTTTATAAACGAGACTACCCCAATATTTACATAGGGAAATATCCAGCATATTAAGTGAAAAAATAGGTTAAAACCTATAGAACACAAATATTTGTTGTGAAGTACTCATCCTTTATATAAGATCATCCTGTACTGTTTGAACAGTTCAGAAGCTTATAAAACAAACGTTTATAGTTGCCTTTTCCTGCTCTCCTTTGATCTGTGTCACTCCTGGTGAGCCTGGTTTATGTCCTTCTAGTCTCGTGGAACATCTGCACACCACACACTCTTGTTACTGACAGTGTGTCACTGAGAGGTTAGAAATAACATAAATGTCCAACAATAGAGGAATGGTAAAATTATGTTGTTGTTATAAGGAATACAACTGTTACAGATTGGTTTTGAAGACTAATGACATGGGAAAATTGTTGAGATAAATAACAGGATATTTAATGAGAGGATGATCCTAGTTTTGTGGAATTTACACATAGGCAGGACTAAAAAGAAACCTATGAAGATCTCAGCAGGTCATATCCTCAGTTTGGATTAAGATTAACCCTTGTCCCGTCTCAAGAAATAGATTCTGAACATGCCACTTGCAGTATCAGAAGTTAGAGGGAGATGCACAGGCCTGAGGGGCCAGGGAGGGGGCTGAGACTGCACAGTTGTGTGCAGGGAGCCAGACCTTAAAGATGAGAGGCAGGGGTCCTGGTGGGAGATGCTGGGGGCAGCCACAGGGAGGGGTGGCTCAGAGACAGCTGGATGTGCAGAAGGAGGAGAGAAGGCTGGGTGAAAGTAGGTATTTATTTAGTACAGTGGACACCCAGTAGACAGAGACTGTCTGTCTGTCCCAGTGTGTGTTGCTTAACTGCTCAAAAGCAAGCTGCAGGGTGGTGGAGCTTCACCACTGAACACTGGACACAGCCACGATACAACTATCGTGCCCAAGAAATGTAACATTGATAATGTGCTGCTGTCTAATAAACAGTCCATATTCAGGTTTGTCAGTTGTCCCAATAATGTCATTTTTACGAATCTTTTTTTTTTTTTTTGAGGAAGATTAGCCCTGAGGTACTGCCAGTCCTCTTTTTGCTGAGGAAGACTGGCCCTGAGCTAACATCCATGCCCATCTTCCTCTTTATACATGGGACGCTTACCACAGCATGGCTTTTGCCAAGCGGTGCCATGTCCGCACCCGGGATCCGAACCAGCGAACCCTGGACTGCCTAGTGGAATGTGCCAACTTAACCGCTGTGCCACCGGGCCGGCCCTTTATGGATCTTTTTGATCCAAAATTTAATCAAGGATTATGTGTTTAAATTGCTGTGTCTCTTAATATCCTTTAGCTTAGAATAGTCTACCTACCTTTCCCCACTGACATTGACTTTTTATTTTGAAGAGTTCAGGCTAGTTTTTGTAAAGTGATATATTCCTCAATTGGGAGTTGTCATATTGTTCCCGTAAGAATTAGACTCAGGGGCCAGCCCCATGGCCGAGTGGTTAAGTTCGTGCGCTCCACTTCGGCAGCCCAGGGTTTTGGTGGTTCAGATCCTGGGCAGGGACATGGCACCGCTCGTCAGCCCATGCTGAGGCGGTGTCCCACAGAACTAGAGGCACTCACAACTAGATTATGCAACTATGTCCTAGGGGCTTTAGGGGAAGAAGAAGGAAAAAAAAGATTGGCAACAGATATTAGTTCAGGTACCAATCTTAAAAAAAAAAAAAGAATTTGATTCAGAGTAAACACTTTGGGCAAGAATATTTCGATGCAGGGGTGGTGTATATCAGTTTGTCCCACTATTGGTAATGTTAAATTTATAATGTGACTTGGGTGGTATCAACCAGATTTCTCTATTGTAAAAATAGAACTCTTTTTTAACATTGATTTAGAACTTTGGTTTTAGGTCATATAAACATACTTCATCTGGTTTAAACTCCCTAAGTTGTAAACTGACATTTGAATGTATGACCTTCCAGTTAAACTTTTTTTTTTTTGGTGAGGAAGGTTAGCCCTGAGCTAACAGCCATGCCCATCTTCCTCTTTTATGTGTGGGATGCTGCCACAGTATGGCTCAATGAGCGATGCATAGGTCTGCGCCCGGAATCCAAACCCACAAACTCTGGGCCGCCAAAGCAGAGCACGTGAACTCAACCACTGTGCCACCGGGCCAGCCCCTCAGTTAAACTTTTTCAATGAAAAAAACAAAACCTGTTCATTAAAGCAATCCAGAAATATATTGAACTAAACGCTGTCACCTCCTGTCTTGAGAGTCACTGTTCAGCCTTGCCTGGGCCTTCAGCATGCGTTCTTAGAGAAGGTGTACATGGCGTACACATCTGGACTTTGTGTTCTTATACTGGGCCTTGTAAATAGTATGTACTGTCCCTTTGATGGTATAATTATTAGGATCCCTGCTGAGCCGAAGTGAATGCACAGACCTTGACGTGCATTCTCTCACATGGTTCCTGGAAGTTGTGGGCTGTAGGAAGCGGCCCCCGTTTTTGAGGTGAGATAGGCTCGGCCCCAGTGCTAGAGCTGAGCCGGGTCTGCCTCGGTTTGATGTGGTTCTGCTTCACAAGTCCCAGTAGGTGACAGTGTGCATCTAGACTACACAGCAGCTCCTGTTAGAGTTGAGTGGCTGCGGCTCAGAGGCCTTCAAGGGTCAAGTGGTTCCTCATTGTAGGGGGTGAGGGGCAGTGTTAGTGGATAGGAGTCGACACATCCAGCTGAAGTAAAGTTTGATGTTATCCTTCAATTTTAGCTAGCTAATTGCTTTGGATTCTGTCTTGTGTGTTCCAGCATTCATAGACCCTTGCTGGTAAGGATCGGTCTGGGTCCTGGGGCACTGCGGGTGTAGGAAGCGGCGCTCAGTCCCTCGGTGGGGCTTAGCAGCCTTGTGCTTAGTGCCTTCTGTATGTCTGAGGAACTAGCCATGACCTGGGCTTCTGTTTTCTAGGATGTGTACTCTGGCACACCCACCAAAGTTAGACACGTGGACTGCCAAGTGGGGGACGAGTTTGATTTGGAAGCTTGTCTAACTGAACCCTTGAAAGACTTCCCGGCTATGAGCTAACTGGGGCCACCTGGAGGCCACTGAGAACAAGACTTGCCTCCACCTGTCTGGGTGGAGGGCCAGCCAAGCATGTGTCGTGCATCGTAACTGGATGGTTTCTGTTAATAGTTCGTTATCTCATGGTGAATTGTTATTCTTGCCTTATTTTCTTAAGAAACATTAATTTTATGTATAGTGAGTGTATTTTGCATGTTTTAACTTGTAAATGGAATTAAATCCAAGAAAAATTGAACTTGAAGCAATCTTGCAACAAACTTAATTGCTTAATTCCTACCATCTTTTAAGCTAACCTGACAAGCATATTTTAACTGGTTTTCCACAAGTATTTTAGATATTAAGTTGCCACTTACCAGATGGCTGGTTTGGATTTAACCATATATTCATGGGACCAAACTAGCAGCAGCTTTCTTTGAAGCATTCTCAGAATCAGACACCTTTAATATTTTCATGGAAACTTAATTTTTGGCCTTTCATCAATATGTCAAGGTGGCTTTTTTTTCCTCATATAGAGCACTGAATAGTCAAAGACGTTAAATTGAGCTGTTAATGGATTTTATGTAAGTTATACAGTCTTAATTTGGTACTTGTAAATAGCACTCAGTAGGCCTTCTACCCATAATACTCCGAGTTAAGGCAGCAGGATTTAGAAAGAACTTTTTTTTTTACAATCGATTTTCCATGTAAAATTGCTGTAAATGATAATGTGTACAGATTTCTGTTCGAATATTCAATTGTAAACTTCTTGTTAAGACTGTTATGTTTCTGTTGCTTTTGTATGGAATGACATTGCAAAAATAAAAAGAAAAGAACCTTCTTTAACTGATTTATTACATTGCTGGATGGGCTAACTGCCGTGATTCCTGTGTTTGGAGGGTTCGAGTCAGCATCTGACTTGATCATGTGGCGCTGGAGAGGATGGTGCATGGTGGTGAAAGAGTCATGACCAGACTCATCAGGCCCACCGCACCCTGTGAGGGGACCTCGTTTGATAGGTTCAGAGCTCCGACGTGGGATCTGGTTCGAGCTGGAGCCAGATGCAGAGCTCGGGTCAGTGCGGGGCCCAGCCACATTTGATGTGTGCTTTCCTTAGACCCAGGGTCTTCTGGTTGAAGGAAGTGGATGCCTGGCAGACTTACATAGGAAGCCGGGGACCTAGGCTTGATGCTTATTGAGCAACTAGAGTGACAGGGCCTTTCTCTGTCTCCTGAGACAGACCAGGGCTGCACAGTCTACCCTGGAGCCCAGTGAGCACTGGACCTGGGTCCCCAGGGTCTGCCCTGCCCATGGCGTGCCTTCCGCAGTCATTCACTTGGACGCTCACAGCTCTCCTGCAGACCTTGCCACCAGCCACGGCCATGGGCACACGCCCCAAGGACGCTCCCTCGGAAGTGATGCTGAACTCACTTCAAGCAAGGGATGAGCTTTGGCAACTTTGTTCAAGTTGTTTCAAAAGGGCAGAAACATTTCTTGCTCATTTAACACATTTGTTGAACCCATACTGTGTGTCAGGCACAGTCTAGCAGTCATTGGGGACACGGAGGAGACTGAGTGTCCCAAAGTCTGCAGTCACACTCTAATGGGGACAGAAGACAACATACGGTATCAGATTAAAGGGTAAGAGTAGAGAAGGCTGTCGGATGTGGGGAGTGGCTGGGTGGTGGGAAGTTGCAGTTTTTACAGGGCAGTTGGGAGATACCTGATAAGGTGGCATCTGAGCAATCGGGTGCTCTCGGGGGAGAACATTCAGCCCAGAAGGCAGCGAATGCAAAGGCCCTGAAGTGGGAGTGTGGTGAATAGACTGCCAACCAATCCTCAAGTGGGGGAGAGACTTTGTAGCTGGGCAGTGGGCAGGAGTTGAAAGGACCTTGAGAAAGCCTGAAGAGCTGTGAGGAGAGTGCTAGCTGGTGCCTTGGGGCTTTGAGGAGACTTCCAGTGAGGGTTGGTGGGAAGGTGTGGGAATACTGGGAACTGCACCAAAGCAGACCCTTACTCTGTAGTGACAGGAAGTAGCAGTACTGTTGCATGCGGTGTGGTGGTGGGAAATAGAAAGTATGACTGATGGACGGGGTGATGTAGGTAAGGATTTCCAGGCAGAGCGCTGACGGCACCTCTGGCTTCCTGCTGCTTCTGAAAGGCAAGAATAGAATGCAGTCTGTACAAAGGCTGAATATCATAATGTACACCTGAAACTCACAGTGTTAAAGGCTAATGTGACCTCAATAAAATTATTAGAGTAATATTAAAAACCTTGTGGCAATAGACTGGTGATGTTTACACAAAACCGTGACTGTAATTAATGCCACCAAATGGTACATTTAAAAGTGTTTAAAATGGCAAAATTTGTTATATATATCTTACCACAATAAAATAGGTAAATAAAAGGCGAGAGTAGAGAAGCTAAAGGAAGGAGTATTTAACATGAAGGAGTGGCACTTACTGGTCTCAATTATTCTCAGCCTTTCCAGATGGCAAACAAGGCTAACATTAAAAAATGGCTTTGAAGCAAAGATCAAATCCAGAGGACAGCCAGGAAGACGATCTATAATGAAGCTGAGGCTGTGGATGGAAAATGCTTTGTTAAGAATTTAGGATGTTGACAGCCTTTCCATCAAACAATAAGACTTCTAAGAAGCTTAAGAGCTTGTCCCTCAGTAGAAGCCCCAAACAGAGAAGGGCTTATTTGAGGAGACCTGTGCATGTGACTTTTGTCTAATGAATTGAACCCCAGTAAGATTCACAGGAGACTCAAAGCTTTTGAAAGAATTATATTGGCAAAAACTGCCAGTTTGGACTGAAAGGGACAGGCAGTATGAAATGAAAGAAGACTTTGGACCCTCAGGATTCTACTGGCAGGAAGCAGGCTGAGAAAACTACACAGCTGCAAACACAGGCTACGTTTCATGGAAAAAGAAAGATAATTCAGAGGGCGGGACTAGAAGTCCAGAGGCAGAGCCAAGAAGCATGGAGAACAGCTGATGGAACTGCCGTGGCCAGTGCCTCCCATGTGCCTCCCCTCTCTGCCCGCCCATCTTTGGACAGAGTGTCTGTAGCACTTACCCCAGGCCTGGCCCGTTGTCCACTGTGTGGGGATGTGGCGGGGGCGGGGGACAAAGGGCAGATAAGTTGTCTCCTTAGTTCAGGGTCTTCAGACTGAGAGCAGCTCCACACCAGGAGCTGTGCTTATGGAACTCCATCCGAGGAGAGCCAATTTCAGTGACGAGATTCTGGACTTAGGGCTGGTGCTGTAGTGGAACGAGACTTGGATTCTTTGGGAGGACTGTAAATAGTGTGTGGCCCTGCCAGAGGGTGGACTGGGTGGTCTTACAGCAGGGCGAGGAGCCTGGGCTGGCTGGAGGAGGGGGCAGTGATGGGTGAAGTTGGGGTTGGGGTGTGTCACAGTGTGGACTACAGCTTTCCCCTGGGTGAGGCAGCAGCCGCGGAGGTCTTAAGCAGAGGCTGTGATATCTGACTCAGGGTCTGGAAGAATCACTCTGGCTCTTAGCTTTTGCTTCACATTTAAATTCTTGAAATGTTCTTAAGCACCAAGGAAATCAATCTTCAGACTTTAGTTCTTGCCTTTTAATGCTGTTAACATAATCTAGTATTTTCTGTATGTGTTACAAATAACCATAGGCTAGGATTGAGTTGTCTTTATTCTTGACTCTTGTACATCGAACCAAGAAGTGTCAGAACTAAATTAAGTTTGTCCAACATGATTAATTCTTCACAGTTCCAGGCTGATTGCTATCTCGTTCCCCTTGCTAATTCATTTTCCTATCTTCCTGTGTATAGACGTGGTCAGCTTATCAGGGTTGTCATCCTACATCCCCCAACTTACTTTTTTTCATGCATTGTGAAGCCGTTCTTGTTTCTTGCTGGTCCATCAGGATCCTGTCCTCCAGGTGCTCTTTTTCAGCACTTCTGCCTTCAAGTTGCTGATTCCGCTATCCTTTTGGTGGGGAGATGTCGACAGAGCCTGCCGGGTGAGTCAGCAGCCTCTGCCTGAACCAGAAGCCTGCACTTTTGGCTTTCTGGACCCGTGAGGGTGGCTCTTCTGATTAACGGAGAGGTTACAGGATTGTTTTTTTCCCCACGTGGGCAAGTTTGAAAGGTCTGCCAGGTAAAGTCACGTTACAGTAGTTGGCAAACCGGAAGCCACTTGCAAATGGATGTGTTAGCTGTCTTCTTTGGACTTGGGTTGGCTCTGTGCGTATTTGGGAGGAGGGGAGAAGTGAGCCTTTTTGATCATCAGTCTGCATATTAACTTTGTGTTTAAGAATCTTGAGGGTTTTTTGTTTTGGGTTTTGTTTTGTTTTTTGGCTTTGTTGTCATTGCTGTTGTTTTGTTTGCTTTTTAACATGCAGGCTTTAATTGGACCTAAGCCACTTTGTAAAACTTGCACTTCAAAGATGCATGTAGAGTCTTCCAGAAAAAGACCCCCTCGGAATAGGAGCCCGGAAGCAGAGTCTTCAAATGTTGGCACGAAGGGCTCAGTGGCTGGCGTTCCACCAGAGGCGCCGACTGTGTGCGGTGCCCCTAGAGCGCACTGCCTGGCCTGTGGAGTGCGGAACACAGACCTGCCATCCAATCCCGGCTCTTAGCTGTGTGATGGGGCCTTCACGTCCCCGTCTAGAAAACTGGAATAATAACGTCTACCTCATAGGATGGCTTTAAGGATTAAAGGAGAGGATGAATGCCACACGCTTAATAATGCTCCATAACGGCAGCTGTTATGGTTGCTGAGGGCCCCATTTAAAGCGTTGACAAAGCCCTGCACGTCCATTAATTCCTTCACTAACAGGGAGCATAGGGATGGGCTTCAGGCAAGAGTAATAACAGCAGGCACTTAGGAAGTGGGAAGTCCACTACAGAGGCTTAGCTGCTCCACGGAGGCCCAGATGTGGTCGGGTCTCCCAGGGAGGGGTCCTGAAGCCCTGCCCAGTGCATGCTACTCCCCCATGTGAACACCAAGCTGTGCGAGGGCCATGTAGTATGTCCCCCAATGACCCCGAATGTGATTTTGAAAAGGGTTTTCGGCTGTGACAGCCATCAATGCACTTGCTGTGCTCTTTAGGGAAAAGGCAGAATTTGAGTCTCCAGAGCCACCTCCCTCCCCTCCTTAGGAAGAAGTGCCAAGGAGAGGCTGCCGTTGGTAAAGGCAGGTGGAGCAAGGCTGTATTAGTTATCTACTGCGGCATAACACATTTCCCCAAAACTTAGTGGCTTATGAGAACGGTATTTATTGTCTCAGTTTCTGTGACTTAGTTGGGTCCTCTCATTCAGGCTCTTCAAGGTGTGGCTGGGGTCTCCTCTGAAGGCTCAACTGGGGAGGATCCATATCCAAGCTCACTCACGAAGTTGTGGGCAGGATTCAGCTCCTCACAGGCTGTCGGCCAGAGATCGCCCTCCCTTCCTTACCAGGTGGGCTTCTCCATATGGCAGCTTGCTTCATCAGAGCAAGCAGGCAGAGAGAGCAAGAGCGAATGCCAGCAAGAAGGAAGTGACAGTCTCTCATTACCTGATTTTGGAAGTGACACCCTGTCCCTTTTGTTGGTTAGAAGCAAGTCACTGGCCAGCCCACTCTAAGAAGAGGGGATTACACAAGAGTGTGAGTACTGGGAGCGGGCCCGTTGGAGCAGTTTTAGAAGTCAGACCACTGCAGAAGCCCTTTCTCCTGAGCAAGGGGACATCCTTAGGCACACCTCTGAACTGCAGCCTGAATCTCACACGGCACAGAGTTAACTTAGAATGTCCCTCAGACTGAAAGGTCAAGTACAAAATTACAAAACTTGTAGAAAGTCGTGGGATCGGGGGCTAGACAGAGTTCTTAGACTTGGCACCAAAAGCATGATCCATCAAAGGAAAGTTAAACTGGACCTCATCAAAATGAAAAACTTTTGCTCTGCCAAAGACCCTGTTAAGCGGATGAGAAGGCAAACTGCAGACTGGGAGAAAATCTTTGCAAACCACATGTCTGACAAAGGACTTGTATCTTTAATATATAAAGAACTCTCAAATCTCAACAGTAAAAAAAAAATCCAATTAGAAAAAGGATAAAAGACATGAAGAAACATCTCACAGAACAGGATGTGCCAACGACTGATGAGCACATGAAAGATGGTCAACATCGTTGGTCATTAAGGAAATGCAACTGAAAACCACCCGTCAGAATGGCTAACGTAAAAAATAGTGAGGACACCAAATGCTGGTGAGGACTGGAAGAAACTGAATCCCTCATGCATTGCTGGTAGGAAGTAAAATGGTACAGCCACCCTGGAAAATAGTTTGACAGTTTCTTGAAAAACTAAACATGCAACTGCCATATGACCTAGTAATTGTACTCCTGGGCATTTATCCCAGAGATGAAAACATATGTTCACACAATCTGTGTGCAAATGTTCATAGCAGTTGTATTTGTAACAGCCCAAACTGGGAACAACCCAGATGTCCTACAACGGGCGAATGGTTAAACAAACTATGGTACATTCATACCATGGGATTCGACTCAGACTCAGGGCAGCACGCGGGATCCCACAGGGATGGGCAGTGTCAGTGTCAGTGTCCTGGTTGGGATAGTGTACTGTAGTTTTGCAAGATGTTATCCTAGGAGGAAATTATCATTCATGAAAACTTTCCTGAAACATGAAAGATTTGAAACCACATATTGAAAGAGCACACCACATTCCTGAATATATTGGCCCAGAATGACCAACACCAAGACAGTCTAGCAAAATTACTGGAGTTTAAAGAAAAAGGAAAAAAATCCTTTGGGCATCTTGAAAAAAAGCACGTTATTTATAAGAGAAATATTAGCTTATCAGACTTTTTGACAATACTTTATGCCAAGAGATAATGGATTAATATTTTTAAGATATTTGCAGACAGAAAATGTGCGCCAGGGAATTTAAATCCAGAAAAATTGCTTTCAAATATAAAGGACTGTGAGACGAATAAGAGGAACTTCAACTAAATTGGAGTCAGGAAGGCCTGTAGGGGGAGCCCTCACACATCGTCAATCATACCTGCCAGGAGGAGACCAGGCCACTGCTGAAGGAAGACTTCTCTACCCACCTGGCAACAGCACAGCCAATGAGAAACACCACAGCTCAGCCAATGGGAAATGCCACAGCTCAGCCAATGGGAAGCCATGGCCGTGCTGAACTGTTCCTCTCCCCCAATGAACCTTCCTTTAGAAGAGGCCCCCCCCCCACCATTTCTGTATAAAAGCAGCTCCCTCCTTTGTTCCCTGGATTTGTCTGTGGTTCACCAGAGCACGCACATTCTGAACTGCAATTCTTTTTGCTATTCCCGAATAAACTCATTCTGCGGATAAAATAACAGGGGAATTTGCTTTTTAAGTTGACAGGGCACAGAGAAATTATCTACATGGGAGAGCTCAGAATTCTGAGAACTTGTTCCTGTGAGCCCTTCTTAAGGAATCCACTGGAAAATGAGCTTCAGACAGCTAACATGATCGGAGACATCAATTTAAGCACTGACGATGGTGTTACATGTGCGTTAGCTGTAGGGCTAAGGCAAAGTGAGGCTAAGATGGAGCGAGTGCAGCATGGAGCAGCTGTATGCTCTGGTAACTGTTGAAACAGATAGGGGAGAATGGGAAACGTGCCACAAAAATGTTTCCTGTTTTTAGTGATCATGTTGTTGGTATTAGTATTGCTATTCTGATACTGTTGGGAAAACCAAATGAGTACTTATAGGATCTTCTGATCCTCACGTCTCCTGTGTCCTCCTCAGTGTGGGAGAAAGAAAACACGTGTAATAAGTGGAGAGGAGCTTCTGGAGCTCTGTCGTCTCGGATCTGTGTTTGTAATGCCAAGCTGGGGACCATCCAGATGTCCTTCAACAGGTGAGGTTAAACACACAGTGGCACCAGCAGATCGTGGATCCTACTCCGCAACAGAAAGGGATGAACTACTGAGACACGCAGCCCTGACAGGTCTCCAGAGAATCACGCTGAGCGAATAAAGCCCATCTACAGGGTACACATTGTGTGGTTCCTTTTATATAACATTGATGAAAAGACAGAATTATAGAAATGAAGAACAGTGGTTACCAGGGAGTCCGTATATATATTGTGCATCTAGATCTAATCTAATCCAGACCTATATCTAATCTATATCCATCTGTCTGTACGTCTATATTTATATCATCTTTAGCTCCCCTCTAGCTCTCTCAGCTGAAAGGTCTAGAAAAAGTGACCAAGCCACAGCAATGACCATCCCTTGACCCCATATTGTGGTCTTGAAATACCCTTTGTCACTGAAATCTGAACCTGTGAACCCCAGGCTGCTGAAGTGGAGTGTGCAAACTTAACCACTATGCTACTGGGCTGACCCCATTGATTTTTAATCAGCATATTTAGACCATTTGTATTTAATGTAATTATCAATATAGCTGGGTATCTACTATCTTGCTATTTATTTTCTGTATTTCTGTGTCCCGTCTGTTCTTTGTCCCTTGTTTACTTGTCTCATGCCTTCTTTTAGAGTATTTTTTTATTATTAGGTTTTAGCTCCACTTTTGGATTATTATTTGTATTTGTTATGTGTGTATTGGATTTGAATTGGAGATATCAATTTAAACTCTGGGATATTTTTCACACACACACACACAATTTCCTACCTCTGTCTTCTGAAAGGACCTGGAAGTAATGATAGCCCAACAGCAGCAAGCACGCTTGGTGCCCAGATCTTGGTTTCTAAATACCGTTCCCCACTGAAGGGACCAGGGCTCCGTGGAGAAATGGCTGATTCCAGGGAGGGAATGGTAGGTACAAGGTGGGCTGGAGCATCTTGCTGTGACAAAAAGTGAGAGTGTACACATCTCCCAACACAGGTGAGCTTTGAGGACATTATGCTAAGTGAACTAAGCCAGACACAGAAGACAAATACTATATGATTTCACTTATTCGAGGTACTTAGTCACAATCTAGAGACAGAAAGTAGAATGGTGGGTGCCAGGGCTGGGGAGAGAGGGGATGGGGAGTGAGTGTTTAGTGGGGGCAGAGTTTCAGTTTTGCAAGATGAAAAGTTTCTGGAGATGGATGGTGGAAATGTTTACACAACAATGTGAATGTACTTAATGCCACTGCACTATACACTTAAAAGTGGCTAAAAATGGTAAATTTTATGTATATATTTTATCACAATAAAAAGAAAGAAATCAAAAAAGTTGAAAAGACAATCCTCCGACTGGAGAAAAAATGTGCAATGCACATCTGATAGAGGCCTGACATCCAGGATGGACAAAGGACTCCTACACTTCAATAACAGAATGACAAACAACTGGTCAAAACAGTGACCAAAAGATCTGGTCAGACACCTCTCCAAAGAAGATATATGGGTGACAAACAAGCACATGGGAAGATGCTCAACATGAGCAGTCATCACGGAAATCCAGGTGCAAATCACAGTGGAACACCACTACACACCCACTGGGAAGGCTGCGATCAAAACACAGGAAACAGCAAATGCTGCAGAGGGCGTGCAGCACCCGGCGCTCCCACGTGTCGCCGGCGGGAAGGCACAGTCATACACCCGCTTTGGAAAACCGTCTGGCAATTTCTGATAAAGTTAAACACATATTTAGCACATGATGCAGCAATCCCACTCCTATGTATTTACCCAAGAGAAACGAAGATTTGCGTTCACAGGAAGACTTAGACACAGTGCTCGTAGCAGCTTTACTGTAACAGCCCTGAACCAGAAGCAGTCCAAATGTCCATCAGCAGGTGGATGCATAAGCAAACTCTGGCACACCCATGCCGTGGAATCCTACTCAGCAGTTAAAAGGAATGGATTACTGATACATGCAACAACCTGATGACCCTCAAAAGCATTATGCTAAGTGAAGTAATCCAGCAGAAAGACTAAACACCATAGGATTTCATTTATGTGAAACTCTAGAAAAGTCAAAACTATAGAAAGCAGCTTCAGTGATTGCGGGGGGGGTGGGGGGGGAGGGTGAATGTTAACGGCACAGGGGCACGGGGGAAGCTTTTCGGGGCCATGGAAATGTTCTATAGCTTGATTGTGCTGGTCGTTACCCAACAGTGTATGCTGTCCCAATTCATTGAGCTGGGTGAATTTTCCAGCATTCAGAAAGGTTTCCTCAGAGAAATTACCTGCTCGGGCACCCCTTCTATCTGTCCCCTCTGACCCGTCGTAGGTGACCAGCTGCTGCTTTCTTATTTATCCTTCCTGCAACACAAGCAGACAGATGTCTACTTTCTTATTTCCCCATCTTTCTTACACGAAAGGGAGCGTTTAGGGACACTCTTTTGCACTTTGCTTTCTCAGCTGACTGGCGTAGCTGGATGTCACTCTCCATCCCTTCCAGAGACCCTCCTCCTTCTTCCTGTGCCCTTTGGATGGTCGCACCACGGGTTCCTCCACCCATTTCCAAGGAGGTGCTTGTAGGTTGTTTCCAGTGTTTTGCACTGATGATAATGCTGCCTGGAGTGAACTTGCACAGCTGTATTTTGTGCACATTCAGGGTCAGTTCCTAGAACTGGGTTTGCTGAGGGTGAATCATATGTGATTGTGGAATCAGTACCAAGTCTCCCCTCCCAGGGTCACCAGTTGGCACTCCCACCAGCAGCGTCTCACAGGGCCTGTTGCCCTGCAGCCTCACCAGTGCAATGAGGTGTCAGGCTTTTCCATCTTTTCCAGGGACCTTGCAGGTGTAGGTGTGCCCTGGAGATTCTTGGCCACCTTTGGGGTGAGGACCACCCCATAGAGCAAAACAGGGGAGCACAGACCGAGCTTGGGATGAACAATCTGCTCTCCAAAGGCCTGTGTGGCTCTTGTCAACAGCAGGTGTCTGGCCGGTGTCTGTTCATCTGTCTTTCGTTGTGAGAAGCAAAACCCTTCCCATACATCTCACTGTATCGTCCCACCATCCTATTAGGCTTTCTTTTAAAATGCTCTTTTGTGTCTTTTCCTGGCTTTGCTGCATTGGCTGGTTTGTTTTCTTTTATCTTCTCTCCTCCCATCCTGATATCTCATCGGCGGAGCTGATGGTGGAGAGACAGGCTGGGGCAGGGCGCCTGGGCACCTCTGCACCTCAGTTTCCACGTCTGTAGATGGGGACAGCAATGATGACCAGCTCACAGTCAGGCTGAGAACTGACAAGGCTGTGCGTGTGAGGCCCTTGGAGCTCCCCGGGCAATGGCAGCTCCTGGTGTTCCTCCACGGCCCCTGCTGTGAGCCCGACTCCTTCCTTCAGCGCTGCATTGAGAAATACACGTGATGTGTGCAGAAAAGTATAGAAAATGACAGTGAGAGCCCCTGTACCGACTACAAGTTTTATCAAATCTTTGCCCAGATGAATTCCAGATCCTTTTTGTTTCTTTGTTTTTATTGAGGTGAAATTCACATAAAATAAAATGGACCATTTAAAGTGAACAATTCAGTGGCATTTAGAGCATTCACAGTGTTGTGTAACCGCTCCCTCTATCTAGTTTCAAAACATTCCCATCACCCCACCTCTGTTAGCAGTCATCCCCCATTCCTCTTGTCCCCCTGCCCCTGGCCACCATTAATCCACTTTCTGTCTCTGTGGATTTGCCTATTCTGGACATTTCATATCAATGGAATCACATGATACATGGCCTTTCATGTCTGACTTCTTTCACTCAGCATCTTGTTTCCGAGGTTCATCTGTGTCGTAGCGTGGCTCAGTCTTTGTTCCTTTTTAAGCTGGATAATATTCCATTACATGGACAGACCACATTTGGTTTATCCATTTATTGGTTTTTGGACATTGGGTTGTTTCTACCTTTTGGCTGTTGTAAACAAGGCTGCTGTGAACACCTGTGTTCCTATCCACGAACATGGCACACCTCTCCATTTTATTCAGGCATTCTTTAATCGCCTTCAGTAATGTTTTGTAACTTTCCCCATAAAGGTCTTATATAACCTTATTGTGTTCACTCCTAGGAACCTGATTTTTGAGAATGGCACTGTGGAAATTAACCAAAGAAACCTTAACTAAATTGGATTTGGGGAGGCCTGCAAGGGGAGCTCTCACCTCCATCACCCATCCTCAATGACACCAGCCAGGAAGAGAGGGTCCTGGCATCTTCCACGGGGGGTCTAACTACTTGAGGATGAAGGAAGATTTCTCTCTCCACCTGGCAACAGCTCAGCCAATGAGAGACGCCGCAGCTCAGCCAATGAGAGACGCCGCAGCTCAGACAATGAGAGACGCCGCAGCTCAGACAATGAGAGACACCGCAGCTCAGCCAATGAGAGGCCGCAGCTCAGCCCATGAGAGATGCCGCAGCTCAGCCAATGAGAAGCCATGGCCGCCTGAACTGTTCCTCTCCCCCCGCGGACCTTCCTTTAGAAGAGCCCCCCTCCCCCATTTCTCTATAAAAGCAGCTCCCCCTTTTTTCTGCACATTTGCGGGTGGTTTGCCACAGCATAGCATCCTGAACTGCAGTTCTTTTTGCTATTCCCGAATAAACTCATTTTGAGATACAGTAACAGACAAATTGCTTTTTAAAGTTGACAGCACTTTTCAAAAAATTCCATCTTCTGTTTGTTGTATGTGAATAGAATCATAATGGATTGTTGTAGATTGATCTTGTTTCCTGCTCCCTTGCTGGATATTATAACCTATTCATTATCACACATTGTATATTTTCTTGGTATTTATATGTAGAAAACCATACTGGATATAGATAATGGCAGTTTCAGTTCTTCCTTTCCAATCCTTATAACGTATTTGTTTCTTGTCTTATTGTGTTGATGATGACCTATAGTATGTCCTTAAATTTTTAGTGACCATATTTGAACTTATATTTTTCTATCAGTGTTAAGAATGAATCCGTATCTATGATGTGCAGGGTGGTTATCTTTCATTTACTCCCTGGATCTGCCCTCCAGCCTTCTCCATCCTGCTCTGATCCATGGGGACTGTATCAGTGGGCTCCTCTGTCCTCTCGAGGACCAGGTGGGAGCCCAGCAGGAGGTGAGAGGAGGGAGGGGAGTGAGGTCAGGGTGTGTGCCCTTGGGCTGCCTCTTTCCTTCCTCTGTAGGAGGTGTCTCTCTGCCGGGGCTGGTACCCACTCCTTCTCCTGGTCTCTTTGGTCCTGGTGGTGGTGACAGTGCCAGAACACTGCACTCACCCTGTGGTTTCTCCACATCTGCCCATGCTTTGTAAATACTCTGCGGAGCATCCTGATTTGAGCATGCCGTGTGTTTATAACCTTTCTCTCATTTCCTGGATTTTGTTGAAAATATCCAGAATTTTAGTTACAGGCTGCGGTGGGCTGAAAGATAGCCACATCAAATCCTGGAACCTGTGAATGTGACTTTATCTGGAAAAAGAGTCTTTGCAGGTGGGATTAAGGATCTTGAGATGAGGAGATCATCCTGGATTATCTGGATGGGCCCTAAAGCCAATGACAAATGTCCTTATAAGACAAGGGGCAGGGAGATTTGACAGAGAAGAGGAGAAGGCCAAGTGACATCAGAGGCAGAGACTGGAGTGATGTGACCACAAGCCCAGGAAGACCTGGAGCCACCAGAGGCTGAAAGAGGCAGGAGGGACCCTCCCTGAGAGCCTTTGGAGGGGCAGGGCCTCTGACACCTTGATCCTGGCCTCTGGCCTCCAGACTGGGAGAGAGCACATCTCTGTTGTGCTAAGCCAGCCAGTTTATGGTCGTTTGTTACCACAGCTCTAGGAAGCTAATACAGATGTGAGGAAGCTCTTTTGTCCAAAGTTTTAGGAATCCTTTCTACTGACAACTAAAAGCCTTCTGAAGAGTCTCGAAGAGCACACAAGCAGGAGCAGCATCCCCAGGCAAACACTCCCGCCCTGGGCATTGGAGAATCCAGAGGAGGCCATGAGGGGCTGAGCTGCCCTTTGGCAGCTGGTGGGGCCGCCTGGGGTGAGACGCTGGTAAACCACGTCCCCCCGGGGCTGGGACCCCATGAGAGGTCCTGGAAGCAAGGGTCATCTGATGCAAACCAGCCCCCCAGATGGCCGCAGAGCCTCCTGGTGGTTCTGGGAAACACAAGAAAAGTCTTTCTGGAAGGAAGACAAGATGATCCTCGGCCTCCGGTTATTTCTGTGTTTGTTTTGCCAAACACTGGGTTCAGCCCGTGATGAAGCGTGACCAGGCTCAGAACAAAGAACTTGGTGGCTGTGTCTGACAGCGGAATAGACACGGCTGAAGAAGGAATCAATGACCTGGAAGCTGGGTCTGCAGTGGCTTGAGCCACCCTCTAGGTGTCCTGAACAGCCATGGAGTCTCCTCGTCATGTGGCCGTCCCCTTTGGACAGAGGTCCTGGATGGGGTCTCCTCAGACTCTGGGGCCCACCACCGTGGTCTCCTGGTCAGCAGGCTTGGCCCAGTGATGTCCATGCATCTGGGGCAGAGGGGCTGGCTCTGGGGCAGGTGCTGGGCGAGGCAGAGCCGAGGTGCAAACCCCAGCCTGGCCCAGGGGGCTCTGCTCTTTGTGCTCACAGAGAGCTGGTTTTGGGGCCTGGCTCTCCCAGGACAGAACTGCAAGGGCTGCACTTACCCTGTTTACCTCGTGGAGGCCTTGTGGAGGCCCCCTGCAGTCTGACCAGCTCGCCCTGGGGGCCCTGGGCAAGCGTGGGCACTACCTCGCAGCCCGCGGCCGTCTCTGAGACCACCCTCCCCATCTCAAGCACAGGGGCTGCCCTGGGCCCTGGTAGCGTGTGTGCGCTGAGCCCTGGCCCTGCAGGGAGGGGCGGGCCTGGAGATGGAGGCTGCCTTGGGAAAGCCGAGCTCTGGGTGGCCAGGTACCACGAGCCATGGGGATGGGCCCCTCATGCCACCTCCGGGAAGGACCGAGGCACCTCCTTCATGATGGCTTGAGGAGGGAGGAGCTGAGTCTCCACGTTCCGTGGGACCCTCAGGGTAGAGGCCGTGGGTTTCGTGGGGTCTCTGCCTGTGCTGGCTGGTGGGCAGGGGGAGAACCGAGGCCCGGGGAATAAGGCTGCTGCCGATGCAGGCAGCTCAGCACAGACGCAGGAGGTGCCCCAAGCTGCCCCTGGTAGGCGGCCAGCTCCAGCCCACAAGTCCCAGGCTCGCTGGGGTCACGGGGGCTCCCGAGGCGGGTGTGGTGGGGAGCACGTCTGCACTCCGCTTGCCCCACAGAATGCCAGGCCTGGGCATGTCTGCGCTGCCCAGCCAGCGGGTGTGGGGAGGGAGGCCAGGCTGCCCACTCCCCTGCCTCTGGTCTCCTCACTCCCACTGCTTGGCCCTGGGCAGTGGCCACTCCTGTCTCTACTCATCTCCAAGCCTCAGCTTCCTCACCTACAAAACCTGGGGAACTTGGTCCGCTCTGCAGGGCTCCTCCCACTAGCCCTAAGTCCTCCCTCGGTGGGCACCCCTGGGACATGCGCAGCCCAGCGTCACCCACCCTCAGCCTCACCCACCACCTGGTCCCCTCGCCCACCTTCCCTGCCGCTGGCCCGATCTCCCTCCAGCCTCTGAGCCCCCGGCTGACCGCGCCCTCACTGCGGCCCTGGGCTCCTTGCGGTGTTTCAGCAGAGTGCTCTGCCCGCCCTGTCTGCACCCCGGGCGGCAGGCCTCTGCGCTCTTCCTGCTGGGAGGTGGCCAAGGGGGTGTCCCTGAGCTGGTCCCTGCACAGAGGCCAGGCCGTGCTCAGCTCAGTGTGTTGGGTGGAGCTTGGGCCCAGGAGTGAGAAGGGGACACTGGCCCTGGAGTCCTGGCGCCCAGTGCAGGGAGGTCAGTGTTGAGCGAGGGGTGAGTGTGCCTGGGCTGGGTCTCTGTGTCCTATCTGCAGAATGGATCTGCTAATGTGGGGAGGACGTGAGGATGAGCTGCCATGCCTCTCACTCGCAGCAAGAAGTGAAAGTGGCCGGCAGGTCTCTAGCAGCTCCTGGGCCTCTGGTGTTGGGGGTCCCGGTCACAAGATATGGAGGTTGGCCTTAGACTATAGCACCCGGCCCAGGCCTCGGGGGCCCAGGCGCAGCACACACCTGACGTGCTTGCTCTGCAGCCCTGCCCGGTGGGCTCCCTGCCTCTCCCTTCCCTCCTCGCCATTTGTTCTCTCACCCTGTCCTGCTCTGTCCTCGGAGGCCAGCTGCCTGTCCTTCAGCTGGATGCAGGGTCGTACCTTCCTTCCCGAAGCTTGGGGGCCCCGGCAGGGGCAGGCAGGGATGGGACGCTGGCAGGCCTAGCTGGAGGGCACTGGCTGCCCTTCTCCTGGCCACGAGGCTCAGCCTGGCTGTGGGTGCGGTCTCCACGCTCCAGGCTCCCTCCCTCTTGGCCATCCCGGGGAGCGACCCCTGGGGGTAGGCCCAGAACCATCCTCAGAGCCCAGTCTGGGCTCAACTGCCAACCAGGGAGGAGATGCAGCCCTCAGCTTGGCAGGCAGGCCACCCCTGGGGGACCTGGTGTGGCTCCAGCCGAGGCGCAGTCCCCAGAGGGATGGGGACAGGCGGAGCACCTGGGAGGCTGGGCGGGCACGTGCCCTCGTGCACACTCACATAGCTCCCGCTTCCACGCCCGTCCCACAGACCGCGTGACGGGGCGTCTCTTGGCAGTTCTGCCGGTGGGGTCTGGAGTCAGAATGCAGGGTTTGAAATCTCCCCTCCCCAGCTACTCAGTCCCCTCATCTGTGAAACGGCATGAAGACATTAGCTCAGAGGGCTGTTGGGAGGACTCAGAGTCGGGAGACCTGACGGGCTGTGAGTGGGGCCTGGCCCGCCAGAGGTGGCTGTTACTGTTCTGACGCATGGAGCCTCGCCCCCGGCTCGGAGCAGGCGGAGAGCGAGACTGGAGGGGCTGCTGCCGGCCCGGCACTCTCGCTGGGGAGGACATGAGGACAAATCAATGAGCCAGAGGATTCAGACCAGCTAGGCAGGTGCGAGGCCTCCCCGGGGCGAGCAGGAGGCAGCCACGGTTCCGCATTGGTTCAGCTGACAGCCAGCAAGGGCTCACCCCGAGGGGCTGGCCTGGAGAGCTGGGCACAGGGACACCCCCACCCCAGGGACAGGACCAGGCCTCAGGAAGGGCCGGCCCAGCTGGGCAGGGGCAGAGCACGCCTGTTCCTCCTAGCTGTGCCCATGGTGGTGGCTGGGCCGGGGTTGCACCCCAACAGTCGAGTTGGGATGAGGGCAGAATCTGCTTTTGTCAAATCTCCTGGATCCCGGGATAAGCCCCCTTACCAGTCGCACTGCCGCTGACGGGACGTGCGCTCTGCCACAGGTAAAACGCGTGCCTCCTCGGTTGGTGCCCTTGTACCCCCCAGTGGAGGATGAAGCTGAGGCCGTGTGTGGGCAAAGGGGCTTCCCCAAAACCACAGGAACCCCTTCGATGGTTTTAAGTCGTGGTTCGGGGCTGCAGGCCTGCTGGGTCAGGCTCTGGGGTCCTGGACCACCTCTGCTCAGGCAGGCGCCCCTCCAGGTGGTGGACAGCTGGCAGCCCAGGCCCTGCGGTCACAGCTTCATGATGCCCAGAGAGGGGCCTCCTTCCTGGTCCCCAGGCTCACGGCCTCAGACCAGCCTGAGTTCGGGGACTGTCTGAGCCACCGAGTCATGGGCGTGGGACATGGGGGTGGGTGCTCCATGGGCTGGGCTGACCATGGCTTCCTCCTGAGCCCGCACGGGGTGGGGCAGCCCCACCCAGAACAAGTGGCAACATGTGGCCTGGGAGATGGGGTGCAGAGGACGGCCACGTCACTGCCCCAGACACCACTCACCCTTCTCCCTTTGTCCTGTGGTGACAGGATGTTTAGCTCAGGGCCACATTTCCTGGCGAGCAGTGGTCCTATGACTGGGTCTTGCTCAGAGGCATAGGACCCACTTCTGGTTATGCCCTGAAGGGAGGGGTGTGCCCTCCACTTCCCCACTGGCTGGAATGCAGAGGGGACAGCAGGGCTGGGCATCCCCTGGCAGCACAAGGCAAAGCCACAAGTTGGACATGACAGAGCAAGAGCAGGAGAAACCCGGGCCTGACATCCCAGCTGCGTCAGGATTCTGCAGCGACAGAGCCAATGTGTGTGTGCGTGTGTGTGTGACTGGTGTACACATACCTATGTGTGTATACATGAATATATAGAGAGAGATCTGTTATAAGGAATTGGCTCATGGGATTAGGAAGGCTGGCGAGCACAGAATCCGCAGGGTGGGCTGGCGGGACGAAGACCCGGGAATTCCAGTCTGAAGGGCGTCTGCAGGAGAATCCCTCTTGCGAGGGGAGGCTCGTCTTTTTCTTCTATTCAGGCCTTCAACTGATTGAATGAGGCCCACCCACATCAAGGAGGGCTTTACTCAATGTCCATCCATGTGGACGTTAATCTCATTCAAAAACACCGACCCGGGAAAACCCAGAATAACGTCTGACCGCCTGCGATCCAGCCAAGCTGACACACGAAATTCACCATCACACCAGCCCTGGGCCGACACGGAGGCCTCTCCTTCAGGGCAGCTGGGCCGCGTCCTCGGCTCCAGCGTGAGCCCACTGGGTCGCTGCGGTGCCACCTGGGAGACACCGATTTCTTGCTTCCCCAAAATGCTGTGTCAGAGCCAGGGCAGCCTGGAGCCGCCTATGATGGCTTGGGGGCCCCACTCCCCCGCCGGGACCCCCTCCTGGACAGAGGGCCAGTGTCCGCCTCCCTGCACCCCGAGCTGCCAAGCTGTCCAAGCTGGCCTGGCGTGCGGTGAGGCAGGCAGCACCCCCACCGGGCGCACAGCAGGCTCTGGGCTCCACGGGCTGGGCTCCCTTCCTAACTGGGCTCTGGCAACACTGCTGCTTCCCCCTCGGCCCCAGGGCTTCACTTGCCCCAGGGCCTTTGCCCCACCATGGGGTCCAGACCAAATCAAGGCTCCTGCTGTTCCCTGGGTGTCCCTGCCTCCCCCGTCTGTCCAGGGTGCAGGCCCTTGTCTCAGCCTGGCTGGCGGACCCTCCTGCCCTGGAGGAAGGGTCTTTCCCCAGAGGATTGCCCCTAAGTTCCTGTGCCCACTCCCCCAGAGCACAGGACACGTGCAAACCGAGGTGGCATGAAAGGCCCAGAGCCCAGCGCTCCAGGGGCGGCAGGTGGGCGTGGGTGGGGCTGCCACGTGGCACGGGGGCTCGAATGGCGTCCTGGAGTTGTGGCTGGCCGCCGGTCTCGCCTGAGCCCTCTCTCGGTCCAGACGGTGGCCCACCCCAGGGGCTGACGAGACTGATGCTGGGCCTGAGCAGGACCCAGACCCACTTTTGGCACGAATGTCACCACCTCTCTGGGCCTCAGTTTCCGCATCTGTAAAATGGGAGCTGAGCATGACCAGGCCTGACGTGAGCCCGAGGGGAGAGATTGGGCGCACCGGCGCTCTGAAAGGCGGGCGGCTCCATGCACGCCAGAGGCGTCGACATCAACAGACCGCTGGCCTTGCACCAGCTCTGTGGGCTGCTCCCACGGGCGCTGGGGACTCCAGAGGTGTGGGCAGCCCGGGGAGGTTCTCGCTTCCAGAGGTCACCTCCTGAATCAAACGAGGAGTTCTGTTCCTGCTGTCCCATCAGAAAACCATCAAGGCCCCTCATGGCCCACAGTGGCATTTCTAAAATTCTTCGCCGAAGCCCAGCCCAAGAGATGCTCTGGGATCAGAATGTCTAACTCTCTGGGAAATGCTGCATTCCACATGTCCTCCTTAGAGCTACCCAGACATCAGCACATGAAAGGCTCTGATAAGTCCTGCAACTACAAAGCCCGTATAGTATGGAGTTGCCAAGTGTGCCCACACTTATTGGATGGCAGGACTTTTTTTGTGAATGTCTGTGGACAGCACACAGAATGAATGGCAAAAGATGCCACGTTGTGGCTCCTTCTGGGACAAGATGGGGCAAGTCACTGGAAAGGCCACTCTGCCTCACATCCTATTTGCATCTCCTTTCTTCGAGCCCCTCGCAGACTTGCCACTTAGAGGCACGACACAGCAGAGCCAAGCGACCTGACTCACCGCTTCCTGGTGAGTCACGGCCTTGGCAGTTTTGGCGGGCGGCGGCAGTTGGCAGACTGGGACTCCTCTCACCTTGCCCAACTCGGCTTCGTGTCTCCCGGTGAGGGCTGGTCTGGGTGAGGGAGAGAGCGTCTGGCCGGCAGTGGGATCGCAGGAGCCACCAGGGCGAGCTGAGTGGTGGCCCGGGTTGGGGTCAGCTTCAGGCGGGGCCCGGCCCCACTCTGCCCTTCTCGGGTCATGACCCCAGCCTGCAGGGTCCCGGCTTCCTCTTCGAATGGGGCTTTTAATTCTGTGTGGAAGGTCAATGGAGAAGACACCCCAGGCCTGGAGAGTTACTAGGGCTGTGAAAACGTGGGGTGGGGACGTCTGACAGCCTGAAAAGCGGCTTGAGTGGTTTTCACCCTGTGTGCGCTGCCTGTCCTCCACAGGCCCCCACTCCAGGGCAGGTGCAGGCAGACATGTTCCCAGATGGGTGTCTGGAAACTTCCCTAGGAGGGGGGCTGTGCAGGGGGAGACGAGGAAGAGGCCTCTGAGTGTAGAGGGGCATCTCGTCCACGGCAGGAGCGGGGAGGCCCATGCCTGCTGCCCAGAGGCGACAGGTGCCCCTTGGGGCCCGGGGATAGGCACAGCGGCACGTCCAGGTAGGGCCGCGGCCCTGGGGACCATCCCCACAGGAGACTGTTGGCCTCGGTAGGGCGGGCTGTTCCCGTAGCTGTGTGGGTCAGGTGCAGGCCCTTGACCTGGGCACCCACGATGGCCTCTCCACGCCCGGCTGGTGTGGTGGGGGGCCGGGGCACTGATGGGCTCGGCCTGCCTGGCGCCAATTCCCCGTGTGTAGAGACTGCGCTCCATCTTGGGGTCCAGTACCAACGCATCCATCCAAGTGCTCCCTCGGGATTGCCCGGCAGCTGGGTGTCACGAAAGCTGGGCTTTTCCTGGTGACCAAGGGAGACGCAAGACCAAGCTCGCCAAGGAGGGAGCTGGGGGAGCCTGGCCTGGCGTGGTCAGGCCTGCTCTGGTCCCTGCCACCCAAAGCCACTCAGGGAGGAACGGTCTCCCCAGAAACCCGCACAGGACAGTCAGCGCAGCGTGGGAACGTGTCGGGGCCGAGGCCAGGCACCCTTCTCTCAGGGCTCCATCGACGGCCCGGCCTCTCCCCGATGGGAGTGGAGGCAGCCAGGAGTACGGGTGACAGTGACACCACTGATTAGGTTAAACTCAGTGCAACAAATACAGAGTGGGGTGCATTCCTGGGGAGCCCCGCCCTTGGGGAGCCCACGGTCCTGAGTCAACACAACCTGCTGTTACAAGCACAGTTTAATTTCTATAATCTCCACCCCCTTGAGCCCAGGCTGGGTGACAGCCGCGGCCACAAAACACGGCAGAAGCGTGTCAGGAGAAGCACGCAGCTTCCCCCTGGCTGTCTTGGGAAGCCAGGACCCCCAGGCCCAGCCCCGTCTCTGGTCCAGTCCTGCAGGGCCGCATCCTTCAAGGGTCTTTCCTCCAAAAAAAAAAAAAAAAAATTAAAAATGACATTTTACAGTTGCACTGGTATAAAGACAAATAGGCTAATATATATTAACACTTTCTTTGATCTAAAGTTTCATTTTTTTCTTCTGATTTTAAAGGAAATGACAACATTTTTGTGTCCCTTGCAGGTCTCCCAGCCCAGGCACCGTTCCCGCTGTGCCTCCTGGAGTGGTTGGCCACAGCCCAGCCCTGGGCCTGGAGGGTCAGCCAGGGGGCGACCCCAGAGACTGAAGGTCCTCCCACAGGAGGGTCCTAGGGCCAGAAAGAGCCACTTTGCGTCCAGTGACCTCCTGTGCCAGCCGGCAGGGGGCCTCCTAGCCTCCCCCATCAGGCATGGGTGGCTGAGGCCGGGCGCTGCAGCCGGGACACCAGGTGGCCCAGGGTGGGCGTGGGGGCCTGCCCGAAACAGCTGTCCGGGCTTGGCACAAAGGGGTGTCAGAAACTGCCCTCCCCGTTAGGGCCCTTTCCTCCACGCTGGGGGCCGAGAGGAGCAGAGACATGAAGTGGGAGGTCAATCAGATCCTTCTGCCAGTGGCCACCAGGAGCTGGGGGTCCCAGGGGCAGGGAGGGGGGAGCCAGGGCATGTGGGACGGGCACCCCAGGCCCCTAAGGTGGGGGAGGGAGCTGGCCTGTTTGTGGGAGGGGTCCCAGGGTCTGGAGAGGAGGCAGGGGCGGGAGCCTTGCGGGGCTCTGGGTGGCGGGTGTGCAAGGCCCTGCAGGCGTTGTGGAGAGGAGCCTCCGGGAGACTCCCCTCGCAGGGCCCCCTCCAGGCCTTTGCCCGCGCTGTGCCTGCTGCCTGGGGCGCCCTCTCCCGTTCTTCCTCTCACCTCCACCTGGCTTTAAACCCCAACATGGGCATCGCCTCCTCCAGGCGCCTTGCCAACCCAGACTAGACCAGCCTGCCACCCGCCCGGCCTTTCATTCAGGGGTCCGCTCCACGTCTGTGTGCCCACTACAGCACACATCTTCCATGTCTGTGTCTGTCTCCAGCTGGCTGCAGGTCCCAGGCCTCAGGGCCCCTGATGAGGACACAGCATACGGTGGGCATCCCACCCGCGTGTGCTGCCCTGTCCACCTGGCGCTGTCTCTCCCAGTGACAGCCCTGCTGTCCTTGAGACCAATGAAGACAGCTCCAGTCCCTCCTCCTGGAAGGTGCCTGCCACACGCCTCTTCTGGTTCCTGGCCCCTCGGGTGGGGTTAGGGGGTGCTTGTCTCCACCCACAGGGGGCAGGGAGCATATGTCCTCAGGGCCTTGAGAGGTCCTGGCACAGGGAGGACAGAGGCCAGCACAGCGCTGACAAGTGCGCGTTCTGCCTGGAGGGACAAGCCCCTCGGCCCTGAGCTCCAGCTTCCTCATCTACAAGATGGGCGTGATTCCAATGCCTTCCCGCAGGCTGGTCCCAGCAGGGGCCTGATGAACAGCGCTGTGACTGGGCGCCCAGCCAATGAGGGCCCAGCTCTCAGGACACAACACCACAGCGGGCTGAGCTCGTGTTCCAGCATGTTCCACACAAAACGTGGCCCTGATCTGACCCTCCCACACATGGCAATAATAATTACTATTATCCAAATAAGGGCTGAGGGGCAGGTGGATTTAACTTAATCAGCTGCAAGGCTTTTGACAGACACAAAGGTGACCTTGTTGACTTGAGCTGGTTGTCAGGGGTCCAGATGGGCCAGGAAAGACAACCCAGCTCCCCCTGCCCTGCACAGGTGCCCCCAGGTGTGTCTTGCTCTCGTCCTGGGTAACCCAGCCAGCACCCTGGACACTGGGCGGGGATTAAAGATGGCAGTGCAGAGGCCTGTGGGGCCCTGCGCCCTGGAACGTGCCCCGCCCCCAACCCCCTGTGCCTCTCCCACAGCCCCACCTGTTGCTGGCTGCACTCCCTGCACCAGCCAGGCTGTGGCTCTGCTCTTCAGAGGGCAGGGCACCTCTTCCCACCAGTCCTGGCTACAGGGGGCTCGGCTCCAAGCCTTTACAGGACCTGCCTCACCGGCCCAGAATCCACATGGAGGCCTCTGCCTGGCACCCAGGAGCTGCATCCCGATGCGACCCTGGCACTCACTGCAGGGACACCTGGGAGCTCAGGCCTCACCCACTTTGGGTCTCTTCCTGCTGCCACTCCGTTTTCTACCTGAAATAGCTCCCACCCAGCCCCCTCGTGCCTCACGCTGCACCACCAGGCCATCCCGCGTTTGTCCAGCCGCAGGACCACTGCAGGCCCCTGCCAGCGTGCAGCCCCTGCCTGCGCCCAGGCTCAGGGTGAGCCAACAGGACCCAGGGGGCAGGTGGCTCTGACCCCTTCTCACCACCCCATGTAAAGCTCGGGGACTCAAATGACGGAGGTCGGATCCCGCAGTCCGAAGGCCCTTCCCAGGGCGAGGACCGCCCCCGGCCCTTCCGCCCGGCGGGACCATCGGGCCGGGAACCAGCCGCACGAGCCAGGTGACCAGCAGACGGCCCCGGAGGGACACGCCTAGCCCGCGCGCTCCCGGCCCGGCGCCCGTCCAGCCAGGGCTGCCCAGGCCGCGGAGGGAGGGCTGCAGGGGACGTCCTGCCCCCGCCGCCGCCCACCTGCTGCAGAGCCCGGGCCCGGTCACCGCGGGTCCCCACTGCGGACACACGCGGCCGGTCCGGAGGGAGACGGGGCCAGCCACCTGCTCAGGGTCACAGGCGGGTCACAGGCAGGGCTCCAGCCGGACTCGGCGGGGGACGGCCCGGGGGTGGGGACCCCGAACGGCTGGGCCGCCAGCCCCCGGCAGAGGCCACCCTCCAGCCGGCTGGGTTCGCGGCCGCCGGCCTTTGCCTCCCGGAGCCCGACGTCGCGTGGGGAGCAGGCAGGCGCGCGCGGGGGCGGGGCTCCTGCAGGGGGCGTGGCCAGCACGGCGTACGCGCCTGGAGGCTCCGCCCACCCGCCGGCGCCGGCCTCTAATCCCCCCGCCGGCGCGGGGCCCCGCCCACTTATCAGTATAGGCCCGCCCACTCCGCAGAGCAGGCCCCGCCCCGTGCGCGCGGCGGCGGCGGGAGGGGGCCGGAGGGGGCCGGAGGGGGGCGGGGCGCCGGCCGCGCTCAGGCACCTTCCCGGTGTCGGCCCATGGGGCTCCGGCTGGGTGCGCGGGTGCGCCTGGCCCGCCGGGGCGGCTTCGGTCAGTGCGCTTGCCCGCCCGCGCGGCCCGACGCTTTTTCCCCAGCGTCGGTGCCCAGCGTTTTCGCCGCTGGGCCGGAGAGCGCGGCGGGCGGGGCGCTGAGGCGCGGGAACCCCCGGGCTCGCGACCCGGGTTGGGACTTGCGCCGTGCGCACGAGCCCCGGGACCAGCCCCGACCCCAGGAGACTCCTGCATCCCGGGATCCCCGAGCGCCGTCCGTACCTCGTGTGTCCCAGCACCCCCGCACCCCAGAACCCACCTGCAGCCCGGGGACCCCACGTGCACCACAGTACCCCACCTGCAGCCCGGGACCCCACCTGCACCACGGGACCCCATCTGCAGCCCGGGGACCCCACGTGCACCACAGTACCCCACCTGCAGCCCGGGACCCCACCTGCACCACGGGACCCCACCTGCAGCCCGGGACCCAGGTGCACTCCGGGCCCCCATGCACCTCAGTATGCCACGTGCACCCTGGGACCCCCGCGCACCCCAGTACTCCCGTGCAGCCACGTCCCCGCGCACCCCACGCACCCTCGGGGGGTGACGGCCGCGCTGCCGCTTGTTGCAGCGACTCTCCGTGTCGCCGTTGCGAGGTGTCGCGGTGCTGAGACCTGGGCTCAGGCGCTTGTCATTTTGTAGCGGAGAGAAGCAGGAAGATTGCCGCGATAAACTGCGCATTGAGGGCGCCCCAGAGGCGGACCCGGACGGCGCCAGTGCCTCCGAGGTGGATGCGGAAGCTTCTTTCTCTGCCTTGACCGGAGGGTGAGTCTCTAAGACTTCCTGTGAGCCGAGAGGCGCCTTAGGTGGATATAGTCTGTTCTATTTTATTTCTTAGTGCAGTCGCAGATCTGAAACATTACACAGTCTGTTAAACTGGCTTGAGCTTTTATTTTTATTTTTATTTTTTTGAGGAACATTAGCCCTGTGCTAACATCTGCTGCCAATCCTCCTCTTTTTGCTGAGGAAGACTGGCCCTGAGCTAACATCCGTGCCCATCTTCCTCTACTTTATATGTGGGACACCTACCACAGCATGGCTTTGCCCAGCGGTGCCATGACCACACCCAGGATCCGAACCAGCGAACCCCGGGCCACTGGATCGGAACTATGCACTTAACGGCTGCATCATCAGGCCGCCCTGGCTTGACTTTTAGATTTTATGGTGGGGTACCTCTACTTTGACTCTAAGCTTCCATAACTTTAAAATATGTATATCTTAACTCGAGCTTGACCTGTTACTTAGTTGAGTTCATGGTGATCTCAGCATGGAGCACTTTTGAAGATGGTTTAGTTTGATTTCAAGACTGTGCTTCAGTTTCACAATAATTAAGAACTTTAACTCGAGCATGTAGATTCCGCTTCTTCAAACAAGTCAGCTGTCCCCTCACTGTCTCGAGCGTGTCCCTGATCAGAGCAGGTCTGGGAAGGAGGGGTGCAGCCTCTCGCTCTGATGGCGGAAGGTGGGGAAGGTTTGTCTTGGTTTTGAAGTTCTTGAATATATCCCGAAATTGAAACTGAAATTGAAATTTTTTAGAAACAGGGGCTTTCCTTCAAATGGGCTGGTTCGCGCAGGAACTCAAGACAGAAATCCTTTCCGACAACTAGACAGTAACTCTGGCATTTTCTCCACTACGTATTTCCAGAGCAATGAGAACTGTTCATTTCAGTTTCTCTCCTCAGTTGTTTCCCAGGTCTGGCACCATTGTCCCCCTCCGGAGTCCCCTTTGTGCTGTGGGCTGTGGCAGTCCTGGTCCCCTCCCGAGGCTTAACACACGATTCCCTCACTCCCCTCGCTGCCCCGTCGACTTAGAACCTGGTTCTGGAGCTCTCTCCTCTGGTGCCCTCTGTGATGCCCCTCGAGGGCCACCCTGCTAGGGTGGCAGTGTCGATGGAGCCTTAGGTTTTCTTGGCTTACTCTGGATTTGGGGGCCACAGAAAGGAGAACAGTTCTCGTTGCTCTGGAAATATGTAGTAGAGAAAATGCCAGAGTTACTGTCTTTGCTTTTTTTTTTTTTGAGGAAGCTCAGCCCTGAGCTAACATCTGCCAATCCTCCTCTTTTTTTCTGAGGAAGACTGGCCCTGAGCTAACATACATGCCCATCTTCCTTTACTTTATATGTGGAACGCCTACCACAGCATAGCGTGCCACGTGGTGCCATGTCTGCACCTGGGATCCGAACTGGTGAACCCCGGGCTGCCGAAGCGAAACACGCAAACTTAACCGCTGCGCCACCGGGCCGGCCCATCACAAGCTACTTTTAACATTCACTGAAACAGAGCAGTAGTTTAGAAAGCCAATTTGTCGCATTAGAATAGAAATTGAAGTTTTCAAAGGTGACTTACAGTATTTTTATGGCAAAATCTAGAGGTAAACAAGAGTAGAGAGTTGGAAACCTGCGCGTCCCCACGCCTGGCCTTGCGAGCGGGCACGGTCAGCCCCCGCCCCTGGTTCCGTCCGTACCTTCCCCCACAGCCCTCTGGTGATAGTTTTGCAGCAAATTCTAGGCACTTCGCCTTTGTGGATATTTCCATGTGTATCTCTGAAAGACATCTTTTCACGCATCCCCTGGCCCTGGCATATTGGGCAACTTGCTAATTGGAGCAGAGCTGTGCTGTCCTATATGTACTCTAGTCACATGTGGCTTTTTCAATTGAGATTAAAGTTAATTAAAATTAAACAATTAACTCTGCTGTTTTTCATTGCACTAGACACATTTCAGGTGCTCGGCGTCTTTGTGAGGCTAGTGGCTACTACAGTGGACAGTGTCCATCATTGCACAAAGTTCTACGGGACGGTGCCAGGGGCTCGATCAGACTCACGCTGAGCAGACTGTTTTGTCATCCATTTGTCTGTTGACTGACATTTGGGTTGTTTCCACTTGTCAGCTGTTGTGAATAATGCTGCTGTAAACATTTGGCACGAGTGTTTGTGGACAAGTGTCTTCATTCCTCTTGGGCACATACCTAGGAGCGGAGTGGCTGGGTCACGTGGTCACTCTATGTTTGACCTTCTGAGGAGCCGCCAGACCGTCTCCCACAGCGGCTGCACCACTCGACATTCCCGCCAGCATGTGCGAAGGTTCTGATTCTGCACATCCTCGTTAACGCTTGTCACTGTCGGTCTTTTTTAGTAAAGCCATCCTCGTAGGGGTGAGGTGGTATCTCAGTGAGGCTTTTATTTGCATTTCTCTGACGGATAATGATGTTGAGTGTCTTTTCATGTGCTCATTGGCCATTTGTGTATCTTCTTTGGAGAAACTCCTGCTGAGGTCCTTTGCCCATTTTAAAATTGGATTACTTGTCTTTTTATTGTTGAGTTGTAATAATTCTTTATATATTCTGGATACTAGTCCCTAATCAGATATACGATTTGCAGAAAACTTTTTGCACTTGGTGGGTTGTCTTTTCACTTTCTTGATGGTGCCCTTTGAAGCACGAAATTTTTTATTTTGGTGAAGGCCAATTGATCTCTTTTTTCTTTTGTTGCCTGTGCTTTTGGTGTCCTATCTAAGAATCCTTGGCCGAATCTAAGGTCATGAAGATTGACATCTATGTTTTCTTCTAAGAGTGTTAGCTCTTAAACTTAGGTCTTTGATCCATTTTGAGTTAATTTTTGTGTGTGGTGTGAGGCAGGGGTCCAGCTTCATTCTTTGCATGTGGATGTCCAGTGTCACAGTGCCATCTGTTGACAAGACTGTTCCTTCCACACTGAATAGCCTTTGGCGCCCTTGTCAAAATTTACATTTTTAAAAACTAAGTCTTTGAAACCTAGCGTGTCTTTTACACTTTGAGCAAATCTCAATCTGGGTGCCAAATTTTCCTTACAGAAATATTTGATCTGAATTTAGATTTCATGAAATTTATAGTTGAAAAAGTAGATTCATATACTCAAATTACCAAAAAGTTTGCCAAAAACTGAATCGTGTCTCTGTATTCAAACTAAAATGTAAGATAATTAAATGTAGATAAAATTAGAAATCATTGGTACCTCTGTCACTCTAGCCATGTGCTGGGCTGGGTCATTCGTCCAGCCCTCCCCAAGCCCTGCCATGAACTGAGTGTCGAGTGAGGAGGTCATTGGGTCAGGAGGACCCAGCAAGTGCTGGGAGCTGGGAGCCTGGCGGGGCCACCAACCTCAGTCCCAAGGGCTGGAGGCGGAGGCAGGCCCGTCAGACAGGGAGCAGACGCTTGTCTCGGGGTCCGTGTCCACCGTGCGCCATCGCTCTGTCAGTGCAGACGTGGTGAGCGCTCCGTGCCCGGCAGTGCTTGGCCCCGCACCTTCTTGTGGATGTCCTCCCACCTCGCCCCATTCGGTGTGGCTGGCTCCGTCATTTCATGTTCCTTCCTCTGGCCTCGGATGCCCTCTTGCTTCTCCCAAAGGCGCCTGCTCTCTTACGGAGCCTCCTGGCTGCCGGGGCTGGGGCAGCTCTTCCGGCCTTGCCTGCGTGGCCCCTGGGGGACGTGGGCGAGTCCAGCTGTGGCAGGAAGGACCTGGACGCACATGAGGCTGGGTCCGGTTCCCACTGCCCCGCCCCCGCCCCACTAGGACAGTGAGTGCCGTGAGGACCGCGGCCGTGTCCTGAATCTCCTGGTATTTCCACAGTGAGCGCACCGAGTCCGCATGAAGTGCTGGCCCAGCCGCGGTTTGGACGCGGGAGCTGGAGCAGCGCCGTCCCGGGACCTTTCTGTGGAGACGGAGGGTCCCCACTGTCCAAGCGTGGCAGCTGCTCCCCACACGGGCTTGTTGAGCGTGAGACGTGGCCAGTGCCATGGGGGAACTCGCTTTGTATTTTATATAATTTAAGTTTAAATTTCAGTAGCCGCCTGTGGCTGCTGGCTGTCAGCGCAGAGGGAGAGGCACGTCTCCGGTGGTGCCGATAACCTGGATGTTGGGGTGATGGTCACCCCTCCCCTCCGTCACCCCTCCATAGCCACGCCCCCTCTCCTCCCGCCAAGCTCTTCTCCGTCTCCGTGATTTTGCCGCTTCAGGGATGATCTGTGAATGGAGTCGTGCAGGATGTACCCTTTTGGGACGGGCTCTTCCCTCAGCACGATGCCCTAGAGACGCGTCCAGGCAGCTGCGGGGTTCAGTGGCTGCTCCTCTCTGTTGCTGAGTGCCCCTGTGTGAGGGTGTCCCGTTCGCCACGGAGGTGTCATTGCGGTTCTGGTAAAGACCCCACCACGACTTCCGTGGGACCCGACGGGCTGATGCTGGAGCTCTCACCTGGGCTGCAGGTTCTCTGATTTGTTCGTTCCTTTGCTCTGCGAGTCTAGGCCGGGTGAGGTGCTGCCAGGGACGAGGAGACACATGCTGCCCGCCTCGAGGGGCTGGTGTTCTCGTGGGAGGACAGGCCCGGCCGGCCCTGGGACCACAGGCGTGATGGCTGAGGAAGGGGCGTGGGCCGGGGCCTCATCCAGCTGCGGGCGCAGCAGAGAGGGTGGGAGCTGTAGTGGGGGGGAAGGTCTTTCCGTAGCTGGGCAGGTGAAGGCCCTTGGGGGCCATAGGGAAGGAGCACCAGCGAGCAGGGCAGGCGGGCCCTGTGTCACACCACGCTCGGGTTCAGGGCTGCCCCAGAGAGTAGGGACAGATGGCCAGGAAAGGGCGTCAAGATCCGATTGTGCTTGACGAGGTCCTTCAGTGAATGTGGGCGTGTGCTCCGTGGTGGAGCTGTTCCAGATGCCCGGGAGGGAGCGCAGGTCTCCGCGGGGAGGCAGGCGGTGCGCGGGGTCTCGGGCAGTTGCTGTGGTGCGCCAGGGGAAGAATCGAGCGGGGCGCGGGCGTTGAGAGTTGACACAGGGCGGCCAGGCTGGACCTCAGTGGAACTGACATGGTGGGTGGTGAGCCGGGTGGTCCCTGGGGAAGACCTCCCGGGGCGAGGACCCACTGGGTGGAGAGGGGGCTGGGGTGCCGGGCGTGGTGGGGGCCAGGTGAGCAGTGAGGAGGAGCGCCACTGGGAAGGGTCAGAGGCCCAGCCTGCCGCTGGCCCCAGTGGACGTGGCATAGGCCATCAGCACGCTGTGTGTCCTCCTGCGTGTCCAGCAGTGCAGGTGCTGGCGTGGGGTGGTGGAGAGCTTGGCTTTTAAAGACCCTTAGTGTAGAAACTGCTTTCTAGAGAGGACGCTTCACGTCCGTGAAATGTGCAGATTGGTGTGACGTTCAGTCGGTCGAGTTTCGCCAGTTGTGTTCACTGGTGACCTTGTCGCTGCCACTGAAAGCAGGCCGTGAACGTCTCCTCGTCCCAGGGTGTCCCCTGTGGCCCCACGTTTGCCCGTCCAGGAGTGATAGATGCACAGTTGTGCAGGGAGCACCTTTGGAGTCTGGTTTCTTTCACTCAGCGGGAGCACTCTGGGATCTTTCAGTGTTAGTGGTGTGTCCGTAGTCTGTTCCTTACTCTGTTGGATGGTATTTGTTTTCCTGTTGATGGACACTTGGGTTCTTTCCCGTTTTCAGCTGTTAAGAGAGATGCTGCTGAATGTTGGCTCAGGGACAATCTTCCTCACCAAAAAAAAAGGATGCTGCTGCTGAGCACGTTTGTGTGTAGGTCTTTTGTGGCCATCTGTTCCCACTTCTCTTGAGTGGAATGGATGCCCACAGGTGTCCACTGGTGGCTCCCCTGGCCTGCACCTTTTCCTGGCTATTTGGTTGGGTGTGGTGGTGGCTCCTTGCGGCTCTGACCTCATTTCCCTGGTGACCAATGAGATTGACATCTTTTGCTCTACTAATTGGCCATTTCTATGTCCTTTTGATGAATGACTTCAAGTCTTTTGCTCATTTTTCTTTTGAGTGGTATGGCTTTTTCTTATTGATTTGTAGGAACTCTTTATATATTCCAGCTATGAATGTTTTCTTGGATATGTGTTTTGCAAATATTTTTTCTTCTCCTGTGGTTTGCCTTGTCACTCTCTTAATGGTCTCTTACAGTGACAGAAATTCTAAATTTCAATGTCGACAAACGTATCAGTGTAACTCAGTGCTTTTTTGTCCCATTTAAGAAATCTTTAGGGGCCAGCCCCATGGCCTAGTTGTTAAGTTCGTCCCACTCTGCTTTGCTAGCCTGGGTTCATAGGTTCGGATCCTGGGTGCGGACCTATACCTCTCGACAGGCATGCTGCGGCTGCAACCCGCATACAAAGTTGAGGAAGATTGTCACAGATGTTAGCTCAGGCCGAATCTTCCTCTCCAAAAAAAGAAAGAAAGAAATCTTTGCTAGCCTGAGTCTTGCAGAGATTCTCCTGTGTTTTCTTCTAGAAGAATCACTGTTTTGCCTTTAGCACGAAGACCGCACTCTTCAAAGCTGAGTTTTGTGTGTGGGACGAGGTGGGCTGGAGACTGGATTTTCCTTTTCCCTTTGCATGGATGTGCGGTTGACCCAGTGCTGTTTCTGGAAACGACCGTCCTTTCTCCATCATTGATCTTGTGGGTTTCCTGCATTCTCATGAAACCCAGCAGCAACCCTGCATGAGCGTCCCACTGTCACTCCTGATCTAGGCGGGGCTGGCCCTGGGCACAGGATGCTCACAGGGCTTGCCCAGCCCCAGCCCCACTGCTCAGCCATGCCTTGCAAGGGTTGTTGCCCGGTTCTGTGGTGGAGGAGGCGATGAGACCGAGTCCCCGCGAGTGTGGTGGGGCCAGGCCTGCCTCGCGGGAGCCTGTGGCCTCAGCCCGCTGTGGTGCGCCCCATGGGTGCTCAGAGGCCGTCTCCTCATCCGGGCTCCTGGCACGGGCTCCGTCCATGGAGCCAGCGTTCCTCAGCCGCCCCACCTGCACTCACACTCAGCTGGACCTGGGCCCGGGTGGAGCCATTGGTGCTGGAGGGCGAGCCCTTTCTGGCTGGGTGCCCGCCTGGCATGTGGCAGAGTGCCATCCAGGCTTCCTGCCGCCCGCTGGGGACGGTGCCCAGGAGGATGGGATGGGCTGTGCTTGAAGAGAACCTGGGCCCCTGTGCTGCGAGGGGTGAGGGGAAGTGGCGCTGACCGGGCCTGGGGGCGGCTGCCCATGGCTGGGGATCTGCAGCAACAAGGGGAGTGTCCAGAGCTGCGGCAGTGATCCCCACGGCCACGTGAAGCATGTGACAGATGGCTCGTGCATTTGCCGTGGGTTTTCTGGTTGTTACAGAGCTGCTGTCTCATCTGTTCCATCTGACCCGGGTCTCAGGCTTGGAGAACCTGATGGTCACCCAGTTCTCACACCTGCGCTGGGCTCCCGTCTTCCTGGGGACGCAGGACTCATGGCCCCGGGAAGCTGTCCGTCTTTGCACAGTCAGACCGTTGATGGGCATCTTTCTTCTGAGTCACAAACCCAACTTTTAACTTATTCCCTTTATGAGAAGCAACAAAGGGTTTCCTTTTTTAACTCCTGAGGTTGGAAATCATGTACAGCAACCCTTAGGAAGCAGGCGTAACTGAGAGGTTCTGTGGTGTGGTCAGGAAAGCTCCAGAACTGAGAGGCAGAGAGAGTCAAGCAGCCGCTGCGCCCAAATCTCATGCCTGGGCCCCGTGAGAGGGTCCTGTGTCCTCCCAGTGTCAGGGGGCTCGCCTGGGTGCCCAGCCTGATGGTGACGGCTGCACGACCCTGGCAGGACACGCCCCGCCTGTGTGCAGCCCCTGGTTCTGGTGGGCTCAGACCCCCAGTGCGCCACGCCCCTGAGCCTGGGCCGGGAGAGCGTGTGAAAGCAGACAGACAGATAGACACAATGAGTCGGAGCCGACTGCGGCTCGCCACGGAGTCCCTTGGCCTTTGAGGGGCAGCGCAAGCCAAGAGAAAACCTTCTGTGGCTCCAGCTGGAGGGCAGCGCCTTCCTGCAGGCCCCTTGCTGCCGTGCCCTGCGGCTGTCCTGCCCTGTGGAGGAAGTCCCCGCGGCTGCTCCTGGACCAGGGCGCCCTCGGGGAGCCTGGCTTCGGGGCGGGTCCGTGTGGAAGCTGCCGAGGGTGAGAAGGGCTCCGGGGGAGTGGCTGCGTCGGGGGGTCATAGAAAAGGAGCAGAAGTGGACACACTCACGGCTTTTTGTTTCCTTCTTGCAATTGAATATTGTTAGGCTTTTAAGAATCTTGATTAAGAAAAAGTGTATTATGGGGGTCAATGCTTTTCTTTCTGATCACCGAGAAAGACAGCTGGGAAACAGAACTCGTTGTGGGATAAACGCAGGAGCATTTGTTGACCCAGCGCCATCTCCTCATCCTCGCGTGAGTCCTAGGCCCTGAGACCTCTCTTTCTTGTCACTTGCAGTATTCTGCCCAGAAACTGAGAAGCTGGGGCCATTTGATCCCTTTTGAGACCAACGGTAAGTGTTTAAAAGCCGGGCAGGTCTTCCTGGACTGCCCTGGCCACGGACTGCGAGCAGGGCTGAGCCGTGCTCCGGGCGGGAGGGGTGTGGGCAGCTCACCTTAAACAGGAGACGGGCTTTCGGAGCAAAAGTCCATGTACAGCGTGTCTTACGCGGAAGGTGGAAGGTCACGTGGCCATCCTCCCTCTGCTGGTCTGCGGGCCCGCCCAGCCAGGCCGCTCCCTCCCTGCGGCGATGGGCCTGGGGCTGCCTCACCCTTTCTGGAGAGGCACCTGGCAGTACAGAGATAGGATGCCCGCCCGTGGGATCCTGCGGCCCCTGGAGAAAGAACAGGATCGGGCAGGCGGCGCATGTGACATTTGCGCAGCTCCGGTGGTGCACACTGGGCCAGTGGTGTGCGGCGGGGGACATCCACGCCCTGGAGCCAGTGGGTCTGCTGGCTCACCCTCCCTCCAGCGCGTGTCCCCCGCACGTGCGCCCTGCAGTCTGAGCGGGAGCAGGCCCCGAGCGTGAGTGTGTGCAACAGTGTGAATGTGTGCATGTGAGTGTATGAGTGTGTGTGAGTGTGAGGGACTGTGTCAACGTGTGTGTGCGAGTGTGGTGTGCGCAAGTGTGAGAAGCTCGCTGGCAGTGGTGCTCCTGACAGCCTTGGCTTGTTTGTCAGTGGTCACCGTGAACTGTGTCTGTTGTGTGACTTTTGGGGTTGGACAGACCCAAGTCGAGTCCCAGGTCCTGCCTCCCCAGCCGTGGTCTCTGCGGTTGCGTGGCGGCCCTCAGCAGCTGTTGGCAGTGCTACCGTGTCGGGCGGCTCTCCCGACTGCCGGACTGCAGGGCTTTACCAGGTTCTCTCATGAACAGATGGAAGTAGGAAGTGTGGGCCCCACACCTGGCCTTCGATGCTCTGTCCTCACCTGGAGTCCATCCTGCACACGGGCTGGGCCTCAGTCACTTCCTGCAGGGCCCATGGGCTCAGCCCTGCTGTCCTCTCTGACGTGCCCCCTGCCACTCTCCCTCAGCCCCCCCAGTGCCACCCCAGGGCCTTTGCTCCTGTCTTTTCCCAGAGCGGGGCCTGGCCTCCTCCCTTGGGCCTGCGGCCTCGCACCCGGGTCCCTCAGCTGGTGGTGACTGCGGAACAGCTGGGGTGGCAGGGCTGTGGCCGCCCTCTGGGCCGGGTCAGCGGGAGTCCTGGCTTCACGGCGGCCCTGACTCCATGGGAGGAGACCAAGGAGACCCCATCACCTGGTCTGCCCCCGACGGTGGTCAGGAAAGAGCGTGGCCTGCGATGGCGGCCCTGATGGGTGCTTGCCAGGTCTGGGCGCCCAGGGGTTTGTGGAGGAAGCGAGGCTGAGGAGGGGTGCGGGTGGGCTCCTGGCGGTTCTGGAGTTTGTGTGGAGTTGCTGGCGCTGGGTCCCTGAAGACCCTGGCCCGGGGCAGTGACCTGCTCTCCGGGTGTCGGAGGGAGGGAGGTCGGGGGAGCCCCCATGCCGCACTGGCACCGCGTGCTGTGTGCGTGTCAACCATTTGTGGAGTGCTGCTGACCCTGCGCGCTCGGGTCTCCTGTGACCCTCACAGCACCTGCTCGATGGTGAGGAAGCTCATGGTGTCCCAGTGTGCAGTCCTCGCCCCCCGTGCGGGCTGTGGGCTGAGACCTGAGGGGCGGGGGAGGCGAGCGCAGGCCTGGGGAGAGGAGGGCTCTGCTTGGCGCACCGTGAAGTGCCATCGGTCTTTGCCCACGTCCCTGAAGCAGACCCGGCGGCCGTTGAAGGGGCGGCTGTGTGGGACCTTGCCAGTGGGCTGCGCCTACAGGACCACTTGGCCACGAGCGGAGGACAGGCTGTGGGTGTCACGGAACAGGTGTGTTCTTGAAGCGGAATCAGGAGCAGCTCTGGTTGTTTTCAGGGAGCACTGGGGTGTCAACGCCTCCTTGGGACAGGCGTCTCCTTCCAGGAGACGTGAGGATGGCGCCAGGGCGGAGCTGCCAGGGAGGAGGCGGGGCTGGCGCTGACTGCGTCTGCACGTCTGCACTGTGGTGCTGGGTCCCACAGACGGGGAGCCCCCGTCTGTGATGGCATGGGGAAGAACTGGCCGTGGGGGATGGAGAGAGGCAGCGGTGGCCCATCTAGAGCGCCAGGTCTCAGCAGGGGAGTGCCTGAGCCGGCCACTCGAGGCCACTCCCAGCGGCACAGGCTCTGGCGTGGTGTGTGTGTGGGCAGCGGAGGGCTCGGCCTGGCTGGGAGATGCCCACCTGGCACCGAGGGGGGTGGCAGCTCGGAGGAGGCTGTGTGTGGAGTGTCTGTCTTGGGTATTTTAAGAGAGGAAAGACTTCTGCGTGTTTATATTGAAGGAGAAGAACCATTGGAAGAGGAAGGCTGTGCAGACAGGAAGGTGGGGAGCTGGGTGAGGGGGGGCCCCAGCACAGGGGAGGACGGGGATGTGGGGGACTCGCCTGGCGTGAGCCGCAGGGGTCTGATGGGGTTCACCTGAGGGCTGTGGAGGCAGCCGTGGGGTCGTCTGCCCGGCGGGACCCTGGGTGGGGGCTGCTGTTGGAAGTGGACCTGAGGTCCTCCCGGCCAGTCCTGTCCCGAGTGTGGGTCGGGCTTGTGGACACAGCTCCACACTCAAGCTCTCAGGCATCCTGGGGCTGGGTCACGTGTCAGACACCTGCGACCCTGGTGTGTTGGGTCTGAGTGGGGCCAGGACATGAGTCCCCCTGGGCATCTGCCGGGCAGTGCCGTGGACAGCCGCAGGCCTTGTTGGCCACCTGGTGGCAGGGGGGTGGGTGTGCAGGGCTCTGAGGAGATAGCCCCCGAGGGAGGGCGTGTGGCTGATGCCCAGGGGACAAGCATGCTCTGTGAACTTGGGGATCCCTCTCAGGGTTGGCGTACCCCACCTCCCATGTAACCCTGGACCTGCCTCAAGTCGGTATCTTCTCTGTTGCAGACTTTAAAAAATTCAAAAAGCCTTAGCTCCCTTGATTATGAAGATGAGGATGAGGATGACACCCGAGTGAAGATGACCATGTCTTCCCCATATGACCCACACAGCCTCACACGCATCGTCACGCTCGGCTCCAGCCCATGGGCCCTGTGGAAGTGGGCGGCTGCTAAGGGCAAGGGCGAGAGAGGCAAGGACCCCAGTGACCGGGACATTGCCAGGGAGGAGGGCGTCTTCCCTCTGGGCTGCAGCGAGCTGGACCTGGAGCCGATCGAGAAGAACTGACTATCATGGTGGGAGGAGCCAAGGGCAGGCTGTGGCCTCTGGTCTGCGCGCCCTGTTCCCACGGAAACTGGTTATGTGTTGCTTTGAACATCAGATGTAATTTTTTTTTTTAAAAGATTTTATTTTTTCCTTTTTCTCCCCAAAGCCCCCCGGTACATAGTTGTATATTCTTTGTTGTGGGTCCTTCTAGTTGTGGCATGTGGGACGCTGCCTCAGCGTAGTTTGATGAGCAGTGCCATGTCCGCGCCCAGGATTCAAACCAACGAAACACTGGGCCACCTGCAGCGGAGTGCGCGAACTTAACCACTCGGCCGCGGGGCCAGCCATCAGATGTAATTTTGATTCAATCTTTCCTCAGGAAGAATTTCACGTTTGCGGCTTTGATAGTTCTGGAGCAAGCTTCTCTGTTTTGAAATGAGCTTTCAGAAAGGCGTTCTATGAACTGGAATCTATATACAGATCCCAGGCTGGGTTTGCGTCCCTTTTGTAAAACACCTGCCGGGCAGGGCGCCTGGCTGCTTGGAAACCTCGGGCGCTGGCGGTCCGGGCCCCTGGGGGACTTTGTCATCCTGTGCGCTGACCCACCAGCCCGCCGCCTCCAGGTTTATGCCTGCTGTTTGGAGCAGGGCCGAGCCATGGGGCTGCGGCAGGCGGTCGCTGCTCCCTCTGCCAAGGACGGTGCATGGGGCCTGGAGCTCCCGGCTGGGCTGTGAGGACGGCGGCTCTGGAGGGCGCTCCTGGCAGCGCCTGGTCTGTGACTTCAGTAAAAGGCATTTGCTCTGCACGTGTGACTTCTGCTTCTTGATTTTCATTTCCGGGTTTAAATAGAGTCTGAGGACACAGCATGGGATGTCCTATGTTTTTCTTTTTTAAAACATTGGCACCTGAGCCAACATCTGTTACCAATCTTTTTTTCCCTTCTTCTCCCGAAAGCCCCCCAATACATAGCTGTGTATTCTAATTGTAAGTCCTTCTGGTTCTGCCATGTGGGACGCCGCATCAGCATGGACTGATGAGCGGTGCTGGGTCCAGCCCAGGATCTGAGCAGGTGAAACCCTGGGCTGCTGAAGCGGAGCGCGTGGACTTAACCACTCGGCCATGGTGGTTTTATTCCTAATTTAATAAAATCACAGGGATTCCCACAGGAGACGTTGACCTGAGGAACTTTGGGGCAGAAGAGGGAGTTTGTGACAGCGAAAGAAAACATTAATAATCTTTGGAGAAATTTTCTTAATTGTTTTTCCTGACAAAATTTGTGTAGGTCGCTGTCATTTATGGAAACCACTTTCAAAACTGGTTTCTGCTGTAGATCAAGGTGGGCAAAGGTGGGAAGTGGCTGGGCCAGAGCAGCCGTCCGCCGCTGGGTGGTCCCCTCCTCCAGCAGGCTACCCCTCACAGCCTGACCTCGTGCCAGCAGCCCTGGTCCGACACTTCGACTTTCAGAGTCTGAAGTGGCCATGCGAGTGTGTTTTCAGGTTAAAGGATTCTTTTTCCCTTGATGTCTAGGCTGCAGTCTGAGGCCTGACACTTCCCGAAGTGCTGGTCAGTCTCGTTCCCTCACCGACTGGACTCCTGAGGAGACAGGCCGTCGATGGGTGTCTGTGTGGAGGGGCAGCCGGTTCAGCAGGCAGATGCCAGAGAGCCTCCTGCTTTGTTCTAGAATTGTCCACTGGTCCAGCTGGTGGCTCTCAGCTGTAGGGGAGTCTAACAAGATGCTGGTGGCCAGGACCGTCTGGGTGTCACCCAGACAGTGGGGTTTTGGGAAGCTGCCCAGGGTTAATTTAAAGAGGAAGATGGGCATGAGGTGCTGGGGGGACCCTGCGAGCAGCCGTGTGCTGGAATGCGGAGCTGCGTTTGTCCTCAGTGACATGTGAGCGAGTGGCCCGCCCCCCATGTCTGGATGGAGCCAGTGCTGCTTGACCCCCAGGGCTATGGTAGACTTTGGCCGAGTGTGGGCTGTGTGTGGACAGGAGCCTGTGGGGCCACCTGAAATGCAAGGGAGCCTCGGGGTCACGCCAGCTCCTGCAAGTGTCACCGCCCCCCCAGAGCCACCACCTGGCTACAGGTGCAGGAGGGACCTGAAGAGCCTTGGGAACCAGGGGCAGCAGGTCCTCGGACGGGGGGGTGATTGGCATCCTGGGCCCCCTGCCCCTGCCCCCAGCTCAGCCCTGCCCCCTGGAGGCAGCCCCTCCCCTGCCACTGCAGAGTCCCCACCTGTTCTCCTGGCAGAGGGGGCGTTTCCTGAGCTGAGGACACAGGGGGGGCCCGGGTGGTCTCGTTCTGCGCCCCCACCCAGCAGGGGGCCTGCTGCCCCCACACACCCTCTCTGAGTCAGGCCCTGGGGAGGTGGGGATGAGGGGCTGGCGCTGCGTGTCCCAGGGTGCCCCCAGCTGGTGTGGCAGGGGTCTCTGCACATGAGGTCACTCCCCCCCTCACTGTTCAGTGGCTCCCGGTGGCTGCTGTTTAGTCCTTGGACAAAATCCAGCCCCAACAGTGGCCTCTGGGTCCTGCCAGAGCCTCTGTCCCCTTTGCTCACCTCCAAGCTCTTCCTCCCTCCTGGGGAGGCTCCCCGCCCCTCCCCAAACTCTGCCCCTTTCCTGCTCCACCCGCCTCTCCTGACGCCCCCAGCTCACGTCCAGGCTGCACCGCTGCGGGGGGGGGGGGGGGGGCGGTGATCCCCTCCTCCGTCTGTGATGGCACCTGACTGGACATTCAGGCTCGCTTCCGCTGCCTCTCCCCGACTTCCTGCCCCCCAGTTCTGCAAATCCTCCTTGTGTGTGCCCCACCTCTCACCCAGGCGCCCACTCTGTGCCCCGCTTTCCACTTAGGGGTCCAGGAAGACGTGCCCCGCCTGGCCGGCCTGTCTCTGGCCCCGACGTCCTTCCACTGGCTGTAGCCTGCTTTCCGTCCAGGGAAGTGGAGACTGGGGGCGGCCCCAGTGCTTCTGCACCCCAGCTGCGGCCTGCAGCCCGTGTGGGGTCCACGTGGCAGCCTCGGGTGTGTCCCCAGCCCCGGGAAGTGCCTGGGGGGGAGCTGCTTTAGCCTTCTCACCCACCGAGGGGGGCCTGGTGTCGGTGACAGCCCTTCCCCTCTGGATTGGGGGCAGGCAGGCGACCCCAGGGCCCTCTCAGGAGGCCCCAGAGCTGTGGGTGGGCAGCTGGGGACTGGCCCGCGGTGCAGGCCAGCCTCGGGGGCCTGGGGGCGGGTCCTCGGCATCTACCTCACCACTCAGCCCCCCATGGGGTCCTCTGGGTTGGGGCAGACCCTGCCCAGTCTGACACCTCGGCCCTGGGGAGTGGGCATGGGTCATGCAGCGGCCTTGGGGACAGCCGTGTTCCTGGGCTGGGGGCCTTGAACGACCCCTTCTCTACCCAGAGGCTTGGGCTGCTCCAGAAAGTGTCCCCCCCACCCCCGTGGCCGCTGTTTTGGCCGATTGTGCACTGGCTGTTTCCTCCGCCCGCTGGCTCTGGGTGCTCCGAGGGAGGGGCCGGCAGACGGCTTGGGGCCTCAGCCACCGTGGGCAATGCAAGACTGACAGAGACAGCCTCCCCACCTCTTGTCCCTCGTCCTGGGTTTTTTCTGGCTGCCTCTGCCTGCGTGCCAGTGCTTGGACCCCATTGACCGCTCGCCTCCCTCCTGGCTGGAGCCAAGGGCCCAAGGGCAGTGACAGCCTGGGGTGGGGGATCTGCAGCCCCCAGCCCCGTCCTCCTGGCCGTGGCTTTCACAGCCCCCGCTCACTGGACGAGATGGTGAGTTCTTTGCTAAAAGCACGGTTTGTCCCCTCCTACTGGGCCCTCCCCTGCCTTTCTGGCCTCCGGGTAGAGGGGGCACTCCCTGGAGGGCCCTGAACCCCATGCTGGTCCTGTGGCCTCCTGAGGCCTGGCCTGGGCCGAGCAGATGCAGATGCAAACCCTCTACAGAAATGTCAGAAACCTGGGTGTGAGGAATCTACACACTTGCTCGTTAGGCAGATGCTGTTGGCCAGTCCTGGGTGCTGGCCGCTGCCATGGGCTTGGGGAGGCGAGAGAGGGGAGGGTGTGTGGGGAAGCGTGTGCCATGCAGAGGCCACAGCCAGCACAGGGCCCTGAGGCAGGAGCGTGCCTGGGCTGCTCGAGGGCGGTGGGAGGTGACGGGGCTTGGTGGCGAGAGAGAGCGAGGAGAGTGGGTCAAAGTGAGATGGTGGGAATGAGTTCAAATGTGTGGGTTAAGCCTAGTGAGTGAAAATAGACTAAAATCTCCTGTGAATGGAAGGGAGACCTACAAATTTAATTCTGCAAGTTACACGCTACGGCAAAAACCGGCAAAATTACAAGCAGAAAATCACAAATCCACTGTCCTAGTTGGAGATTTTTTGACAATCCTCTCTCAGTAGTTAGTTGGTCAAGTAGACCCAGAAAAAACAATATGGATGGAGAAGGTCTGGTCACCCTGGTTAGTGAGCTTCAGCTGGCGGATGACCAGAACGCAGCTCCTGACAGCCGGACGTCACATGACTTCACGCACACGTGAGGCTGCCGAAGGTCGACCACGTATAGGCAGAAAGAAAACATCAGTGCATTTTAAGGTATTGGTTATTACACAGATCGTATTCTCTCACCACAACTCAGTAACAAAAAGATGGCAAACAAAACCTCATATGCTTAGAAAATTGAAAAATGCACTTTATGTAACTCACGGGTCAAAGAGGAAGTCACAATACAAGTTAGAACATCCTTAGGACTGAATGATAATGACAATGGTCCCTGTTAAAACTTGTCAAATATATCTGAAGTTGTAAGTGGAAGGGAATTTACAACCCTGAATGGTTATATTTGAAAAATTAGACGTGAAAAACTGATGAGCTAAGTGTCCGATTTTAGAAATTAGGCAGAAGTCAGCAAACTTTTTCTTTTCCTGCTGAGGAAGATTGGCCCTGAGCTCACATCTGTGCTGGTCCTCCTCTATTTTGTATGTGGGATGAGGCCACAGTGTGGCTGACAGTGGTGTAGGCCCACACCCGGGATCCGAACCCAGGCTGCTGAAGCAGAGCACACTGAACTTGACCACTAGGCCACTGGGACCCCAGCAAACTTCACCCTGAAAGGGCCAGATTTTGGGTCCTGAGGGCCGCAGATGGTCTCTGTCACATGTTCTCTCCCTGCTCCTCCTCTTCCCAACCTTTCAGAAGCCGTTCTGAGCGCTCGGCTTGTGCACAAACGGCTGTGCACTGA